CTTTTAGCGGTGTCTTTCATTCGCACAAAGCCACACCACACACAATATAAACACATTGAAAGAAATAAAAAGAAAATAATGTGTAAGAGTATGAAGAGAACAATAACGAGCACGCGAAAGTCATTCACGGCTGTTTCAGGGGTGTTATTTGCGGAATAAGTATGGATATAGTAACTAATATTATAAATGTATGTTTGTAACGCGTTTACGTAAAAACCATTCAATAAATGTTCATAAAATTTAGTATGGAGATAGATTAGACCTAGGAAAATAACATAGGCTACTTTTTGTCCCGAAAATTTAACTTAAAGGGTGTGAAAAATAATTTGAAAGTTTATGTAACAAAAAAATTATTTTTTTCAAATTTTACAAACAATAAAAATTCACTAATAAATTGCTGAATAAGAAAAAAAACGCAAATACCCTGATCACTAAGGAAGGTCGTTGTTAATGATTAAACAGGGATGGCTATTATACTACAAACGGCATAACTGTTCATTTGTAGCTTTGTGTCGAATGAAGTCGTCGAATCGTATAAATATATGATGATACAATGCTGAAAGGTATTGTAGGCATTATTCACGAAATGCTGAAACGTTTTGATTTATTAATCGTCATTTTACTTTGATTCGAGTGTCTTTAAACAGCGTTTAGGTTATGCATGATGTGCGCGTGCCTCAATGTGTACCGGAAGTCAACTAATTCGGATACCTGCATTCGCATACGCGCATTATTAAACATTCCACCGTTTGCGCGTTATAATCCATTAAATGCTGACAAACGGTCAGCGGGCAATGAGAATTAACGTGGTTATAATTTCGTAAATTTGCAAATTCGCTCTGTGGGATCATTTTAGTTGGTATTCCGGCAATTGCGAGTGCTATTTATGTGAAAATTGTAATCGCAGAAATCCATTAGGGGTGTATTATTATACAAAATAATAATATTTACTAAAAATGTCAAATAAAAACAATATAGTAGGTATAATATGTATCAATGCGCATACGCAAATTTCATCCCGTGACTAAAACCCATGAGAAAAATACTTTAGACACGGTTTTAGCTGCCCGTGTTTAAAAAAATAACTTTTTGTGACTCAAAACCATGAAAAAAATGAAAAAAAAAATTTTAATGAATTTTTTTTTACTTTTTACTGCTGACAGTAGTGCATAGTGCCATCGATCTGCACAGTAATAAATAAATAATGCTCCTACTTGCATGTCCTACGTAGATAAATCAATAACACTAATCCAAATCAAATGCCAACTTTATTTCTTCTTTCTTTTCGATTAATAAATAGACAAATCAAACGGCTTGTTATGAGGAAAAGAAAACATGCACTCAATTATTTGTTTTATTTGCACGGAATGCAAATTTAATTAATTTTCGCGCAGGTTTCAATTAATTTTTACGCTCCAAACAAGTGCGCCATTTAACGCGTGCATCAACCGCCGACTCAGGGATAATAAAATTTTATTTTGTTTGTACTCCTCCACGCGTCACATACACACACAGTCCGAGGATTTTTTTACGATTACTCGTCAGGTAAAAATTGCATTAATTAAAAACTTTTAATTGCATCTGTTCGCAGAACGACCTTGGATATATGTATGGGTATGTGAAGAGAGAATTTTTGTTAATTTGCAGATAGTCCGCTGAACTAAAAATACACTTTGCGCAACATTTGCATCCGATCAGCGTGTGGGAAAAGGCGCAAAGTGAATATAAATGATATAACTAAAAATACACCCACTGCAGAACAAGGGTTGGCGGTTGCAATCGATTGTCTGCCAAGTCGTGTGTACCCTCGACACACAACACAATGTGCACATATGCATTAGAAATTTCCATCCTGGCAGAATGCGTTTTAGATTTCTATACACCTGCAAAGATAACTGCATACCTCGCATACCGCATGTATACAAAAATCAATAATTATTATCATCTTCGATTAATTCATCAGTATGGATTTGTGGTGTGCTGCTCAGGTAGCACGTGTAGTATCTTTGTTTCCATAGATTTGGTAAACACGGCTGTGCTAGCGAAGGCTTCAGTTTCCGATTGCTTGCACTAACGCTATTCATAGCCCATCATCGCTGAAGCACGATCGGGACAAAAGCGACGAGTAGGTTGCAACAATCCGATGTGTACTCGCGCGCGCACGACAATGCATTCCGGCGCATGTCGTCGTCAAATGGGAATGAAAACATTCAAGAAACGGTTGAAATTGCATAGTTACGAACGTTTATATCCGTGAATTGGCTCTCGGAGCTGGTTATTATGGCTAGATGGGATCGGCAAATTCATGTTGATATTCTCTGCCAACTCTCACTCTGCAAATAACTGCATTGTCATCACTATTGTTTGGCATGATTCAATTATTTCATGTTGTTTTAATTTATATTGACTGGCAAATCTATGTTTTTTTGTAAAAGTGAAAATTTCTGAAAACTCTGATAATAAATTGTATTTTATGGCTAATCTTTTATAGATATTACAAATTTTTTTAATGGAAAAGATGGGCAAAATATTGCTCTTTCAGATGGTATATTTGGCAATGCTGTGAGTTTAATACTTTCGGAGATATTGCAAATTTTCTAAAAATAGATTTTTGCAGTTTATACAAAACTAGCTTTAACCCGCAGCTTCGCTCGCGAATATCTAAAATAATGAAGTTGCTTCCGTACGCGTCTGTAGTCACAGAAGAAGTAACAATGAAGTAGAATGGCGGGAAGTTTAAAATGGCTGAAAGTATAGTCTATGGAAGTATAGTGTACAGTCTCCATAGTGTAGTCAATTGGATTTGATGTTGACGTAGCTGTCGGTAATACAGTGTGATAATACAGTGTGATGGTACTATAGTACTTAGGTTTGAGCTTCATTGCTGGAATGCTAGATGGCGTTAAAGTAGTCAAATAGCCAGATGCAGAGGTATTATTGGCTAAACAATTTCTTTATTTTATTTAAAAAATAATTTTTTTTATTAAATAAAAAGTAGCCTATAACCATTCTGGCACCACTAAGAATATGTGTACAAATTTTCATGATGATCGATTAAGTAGTTTTTGCGTGAAAGTGTAACAAACATCAGGACTTTCGCATTTATAATATTAGTAGGGATATGCAAGTTTTTTCTTTGTTTTTTTTATTTTTTAAATGATTTTGAAGGTTTCTAAGAACAATTTACAATTTAAAATATTTAGAGAATTGTATATTTTCTTTGGTTAAAGGATATTGTTGCAAAATTTGCTCGTTTTTTTCAAAAAAATGCGAATTTTTGCTTAAAAACAAGCCAAAATCAACAAATTTTCTAAACCTGCAAATCTAATTATACTCCCGATTAACATATTTATTTCCCAGTTAAAATAAGTACTTATTTTGATAAAATTTGAAAATATTTTTGAAAGAATCCAACGTCCAATAAATAAAATACATTTCTATGGTCACGTAGAAAAAACAAAGAACTAAAGCAGAAAAAGCGCGCTCGTGCACCACACGAAGCAAGCAGCCAATATATATTTTGATATATTATTGAAGGCTGAAGTGCAGATCCAAGTGGAACGAAATTTGATCGAAAGTATATTTCATCGACGCGGCCGATACACCCGCACACGTAATGCGCGAACAGAAGGAACCAACCGACTGTCCGCCCGCCGAATAGATAGATTTAATCCAATATTCTGCTGAAGCACCACAAAATAACGATAACCTGAATATTTTACCATAGTCAATAACCCACTTAAATTTGAGCATGTGTAACGCATCCGACCACCTCACCTACGTCTACGTCTACACTATCAAAACCCGAAACGAATTCGGACGCGCATTGCTTGTGTAATCTCTGATTTCGTACCTATCGATTGCTCAAATATAGATGAGCCAAGTGGGGGAGTAGTAGTTCGGGGTACTAGTGCATTTGATATTATTATATCGATGGTAAAAGAGTAACATGCATTCCGGTGTGTGGGTCAGCATGTTACATGACACTGAAAGTGTGACACTAGGAGAACTCTGCACCCTTTACACACAACAACCCTCGTTTGTTCTGATTACTCTTCTACATGCCCTCGGAATACAATAAATCACCTAACCTAACATAACCTAACCTTAAAACAACCAAAATGACATTTTTTATTTTTTATTTTTTATTTTCTGTCTGTAGAAAAGATAATCTCTGAATTTACGAATTTAATTACATGCAGATAACAAAAGCGAAGTAGCCTGACCATGACACACAATATTATCGAGTTTCTTCGAGGGTGTCTCGTGTGACAATGATATTTTTAGCAACATTTTAAACTAAGTTTAGCAGTTGTCGTGCCAAGTCGTAATTTGCAAAATTAAACTCGCACGAAAACCTTGGCGACAATTCCATCACACATATATTTGCACATTGGACAGTTTGGGGATGCAAATCTGTTTGTGACAGTTATGCTCAATGAATCAAAATCCACCCTGCGTATTACTGTGTTACAATTGAAATCGAATGAAGGGGTTATGTAATTGTGGTCTGAATGTGTACACAGATCGTTTGCAGCTTGTTACAGACACTTTGAGATGAATTTTTTAATGCAGGGGATGTTTTTGGTGGATTTGTTAAAGGTTGGCGCAGGAAAAGGGACGCGGGTAGCGAGAGAGTTCAAGTGACGGTTATGTAACATCAGGTCCGAGAAAGGAAACATGGAAAATGGTACCGATTGTTACAATTTTCATAATTTTAGTTTTTTCGAGACAAAAACATCAAAAATTGTGGTTTTTTTCAATGAAATTAACAATGTTTATATTAATTTGTTTATATTACGTGTGATTTGATAAGATTTCGGTGTTTTTTGTTATTAAAACGTGGATTTTACGAATATAAAATATCAAATTTAATATTTTATATATTTTTAGTGTTTTTTACGCTTGTTATTGTTTATTTCGTTGTTTTTCTGTGTAAATTGTATATTTTTATCGTATGTTTGTGTTTATGTTATTTATGAGTTGAATGAATGACTTACTGATTGTGGAAGTGTTGCACATATCCACCGGGTCCTGATACCCGGCGATGGAGGCTCCTGACAGACATAGGTCTGGGCTCACTAGCATCGCCCCGCAGTCACCCTTTTCGCACTCCCGGACATTACGCGGGGGGTTCCTGTTGCGACCCCGTTGCGCCGCTGACTGACTGCCGCGACCGACGGCACGTCCACGAGGCCCGCGCATGCTTCTTCCTCGCCATGAGTCGCTATCGTGGGTCCCGCGCGCCGTGCGTGCGCTCAACCAATTCGGCCCGAACCCAAATATCACTAAATTAAATTTTAAAAATTACACCTTTATACACATATTTATAATTAAACATATTCAACAGTATAATAACACGTGTTGTTTTATTAAATACCAGCGGGTTGTAATTGGGTAGGAGTGGTGGTAATTTGAGTTTCGCGTGATGCGTGTCGATCACAAATCAAGTTCGCGAAACAACTTGATTGGCGTGTCACTGGTTGTTAACCAACTTTGTGAAACGTGGAACGGGTATTACCCCACTTAACAACCCACAAACTTACACAACAAGATAAATATCTTAAGTGGGACGTAAAGATGATAAGAAACGTCTTGTGTTTTGTTATAATGTTTTATTCAATTAGATTTAGCAATACAATGCACATTTCTCTTGTTTGGCACTAGATGGCGCTGTGGCCATCTTCATTCGTGTTAGGCAATAGATAATAAATTACTTTCTAAAGTTTAACATCAAATATTTCTATGTTTAATAAGTAGAATTTTGGTTTTAAACAAGTGATCAACTAAATAAATAAAAATCAGTTATAAAAATAATTTATGGCATTGCAAACAAATAAAAATCATCAATATTCAATATTTCTAAGGCTTTTGTTGTCATTTCGTGTCGTTTCTGATTCAAATTTATGTAATTTCTGCAATTGACCAGTTTTTGATAATCTCATCTTATCTCGGATACTATAAGATGGCGCACAGAGTGAAGGAGCAACAAGCAAACTTCTTGTAGACAGCCTGTGGTGGTACCAGATGAAGATCTTCTTCGTCATCTTCATCGCCGGATATGCTCATCTCTTCTATGCTAAACGTATCAGTCAGTTCTTGATGTACCCTGGACTCTTTACGGGATAACGGGAAGAAGTTAACAATGTCTTCTTCGCTGTCGTCTGTGTCCCATTGGACAAGCGGTTGTTGGTCCTTTGCTCCTGGTATGGGCAGTCTCTGAATTGGAATGAGACCTGGTGTGGCGTTGTATTCCTGGTGCAATCGTTTTGCGTGTTCAATGCGTGCCTCTAGGCGACGATGAAGCTGCTTGGAACTTGGTGGTAATTGTTGGGGAGCACGAGGTGGTGACCTGCCGCTATCAGCACTGGATCGACTTGAACTGTCACTGGTCTAAAAATTTTTAATAATTAATTTATTTTAATTGAAGGGTTTTTTTGAAGGAACTTACAGGAAATCGGTGACCTTTTTGTATATCACTGCCATTGTGATCACCACTGTCGATACCACTGTCCTCCATTTTGTCCAAATCGCACACCAGGTTATACTCTCACATAGTTCTTGCAATTGTATTTATTTACATCGTATGTAAATGATTCAAAAATGCGGCAAGACATTTACGTGCGTCAATCTGTCTGCGCCATTTTGTCTGGTTTCCCTGCCCCATTGACGGCAGGCAAAAAGAAAATCAATAAAGGAAGATAAAGTGAATCCTTTGAGGCAGGAGTTTTACGTAGGCAACCAAATCAACAAAACAATAAAGTTTTCACCATAGTAATACTTTATTTGATCAATATTTATCTATTTCAATAATAAACAGTTAAAGGTAACACTGTCAACGTTTATAATTTTTATTTATACACAAAATGGGGCCTAAAAAAGATGTTACAATAAAAGCAGTAAGTTTTATTGATTAAAACTTTGAAAATTAAATTTTAAATTCTTCTATTTATATTAAAGAAAAAGAAGCTTAGTATACATAGGGATATCGACGATGATTTAGAAGAATGGAAAAAATCTAAGCAATTGGTCAAACCCAAAGATCAAGTGGAATTGTCAGATGCAGAATTAAAAGAGATTCTCTCAAGGAATTTGGTGCTCACCAACGCACAGGCTCCCGAACATATCGTAGAATTTAGTTATAATGAAGGGTGTTTTGTAGAAGTACCACAACCAAAGAACTACGTTGTTGTTTATGCCAAACAAGGGTGTTACCTGCACAAGACCTCAGAGGAAGCTAAACAACAATATATTGAACAAGGACTTGATTGTATTTTATTTAAAAATTAATTATTTTGCCTTTTTACATTTTAATATTTAAGTGAGTCTATTGGAGACAATTGATCATCAAGATGATGAAGACATAGAACCCATACCAGCACAATCCACCAAACCCACATTGGCAGATGAAGGAGGTGAAGAAGAAGAAGCAGACCTAGATGGTGAAGAAGAAGAAAAACTGGAGGGTATGGAAGAAGAGGAAGGGGAAGGTGATGCTGAAGATGCTGCTGCAGGTGGTGGAGGTGGTGATGATGAAGAGGAAACCACAGCAAAACCCGCTGGGAAGTTGAAGAATCAATTCAACTTCTGTGAAAGAGCAGGACTATCAATAATACCACCAAATAGGGTATTACCACATTAATACCATCATTATTATTATAAAATATCAATTCCTGTGTGTAGGACCAAGAAAGTCAAACAGTCCCACCACCAACTGCTAACTGTTCAGGGCTGGTCCTTCAATGGGTCATCTACGATGCTTACCAAGAAGATTTCGAGGAACAGGAACGCGAAAAAGAACGAGAACGAGAACGCAAAGAACGTGCCAAGGAAAGTGGTGGTACCCACAAACCCCACCCAGCTCCAAAACCCAAAGCTATTGTCCGTAAAGAATTCAGCGATGAAGTTGTACTAAGAGTATTTGATTGTTGGAAAGTCTTGGAACGTATGATCAATTTAAACACCTACGATGACATAGCTAAAGACTACAGGTATTGGGAAGACCCATCTGATGAATTCCGAGATAATGAAGGTACCCTCCTTCCATTATGGAAGTATCAATATGATAAACTCAAAGAATACACTGTCACCTACCTAATGTGGAACAATTGGTATTATGACATGTTTATAGCATGTTTTGGTTCAGGTAAGTATTAAACCCATATTTTACCATAAAAAACAAAATGGAGTTTCAGTGGACTTCCTAAAACCAAGCGTCGGTGGCTACATTTGTCTCTACACCATCAAAAACCCATCATTTCCTGAAAGTATCTGTGTTTGTGACTCAGCTGTCATGTGCGCTGACGTCCATCGCTTCTACCCATACATGATGGTATGTGGTCAAGCAGATGGTAACATCGCCGTGTACAATATCCAAGCAAGCACAAAACTCTGCGCGTATCAAACAAAAAACTACAAAACAAAATGTTTGGGAATAGTCTGGGCAGTAAAATGGCTGCCGGATTTACAAGATGGCGAACTGAACTTCTTCGCTGTGTCAAACGATGGCGTTGTAAAGAACTATGTGCTTATGCAAAGCGAGTTTGCTGTCACGCACATCATCAAATTAATTCTGGATACACCGCCGGCCGCTGGACCTGATGGAACTTTTGTTCCACTAATAGGTTTCTTAATTAATTGAATCAAATTGCATCATTAATTTAAACTTTTCAGGCTGTGCTACAACTTTGGTTATGCATCCGAAAGACCCCAATGTGTATTTAGTAGGCACGGAAGAAGGCTTCATTTATAAATGTAGCGTCAACTACAGCTCGCAGTATTTGCTCACTTATAAAGCGCATGATTTGCCTGTGTACAAAATTAATTACAACTATTTTAATCCGGATATATTCATATCATGCAGTGGTGATTGGCGGATTAAAATTTGGGAAGATGGGAGGTTGGATCCGTTGTTTTCGTTTGATTTAGGAGCTGTTATTTCGGATGTCCAATGGGCACCGTATTCTTCAACGGTTTTTGCTGCTGTTACCTATGAGGGAAAAGTTTATGTCTTTGATTTAAACATGAACAAATATAAACCGATTTGTGTGCAAGCTGTGGTGTCAAAGAAGAGGTATAAATTGACTACGATTGCGTTTAATAATAATTTACCGATTATTATTGTTGGAGACGATAAGTAAGGTTAATATTAGTTGGTAATTGAGGTTATGTAGTGTTTATTTTGTAGGGGTTGTGTTACATCGTTGAAATTATCACCAAATTTACGTATTCCGTGCAAGGCACCAAAGAAACAACAACATTTGGATCAATTTACACTGCAATGCATGAAACTGGATAAATTATTGGCTGTTGTCAGGGAACCATTGGTTATTTCTGTCAATCAAGATATTACAAGTACTTTGATCATTGTCAAATAAAATTCTATGTTTTTTTACACAAAAATTGTTTTAAATATTTTCTCTGCGTTTGAATCCAACCCAACATCCGCCTTCAATCGCTGGATTGATTTGTTTGATGGAATACTTCAACGGAATTGTAGTTTTATCAATGACAGTCAATTCAAATGCAAGCTGTGGTGTCAAGGAAGAGGTATAAATTGACTACGATTGCTTTTAATAATAATTTACCGATTATTATTGTTGGAGATGATAAGTAAGGTTATTATTAGTTGATAATTGAGGTTATGTAGTATTTATTTTGTAGGGGTTGTGTTACATCGTTGAAATTATCACCAAATTTACGTATTCCGTGCAAGGCACCAAAGAAACAACAACATTTGGATCAATTTACACTGCAATGCATGAAACTGGATAAATTATTGGCTGTTGTCAGGGAACCATTGGTTATTTCTGTCAATCAAGATATTACAAGTACTTTGATCATTGTTAAATAAAATTCTACGTTTTTTTACACAAAAATTGTTTTAAATATTTTCTCTGCGTTTGAATCCAACCCAACATCCACCTTCAATCGCAGGATTGATTTGTTTAATGGAATATTTCAACGGAATTGTAGTTTTATCAATGACAGTCAATTCAAATTTGCTCAGAATATGAAATATTAAAGTCTTTACTTCCATCAGAGCAAATCTAGACCCAATACAATTTCTAGGTCCAGAACCAAATGGAATATAACTGTATGGATAAATATTCTTCTTGTTTTCTTCAGAGAATCGTTCCGGATCGAATTTGGATGGATTTGGATGATACTTTTCATTGTGATGAATGCCAGCGATAGGCAACCAAACAACATCGCCGACTTTTAGGTGTACCGGATGTTCATGGGGTAATACCGGTTGGATTGTGTATGGTTTTGTACAAACTCTATCAATGGCTACTGCTGGTGCATGCTTACGAAGGCTTTCACAGACAACCATATCCATGTACTTCATTTTGTTTAAGATGTCATAGGTTAGTTTTCCTTTGGTTTCTTCGAAGGTATCATCTATTTCTTGACGCAGTTTTTCTTGAACATCGGGATTGATAGCTAATTCGTAACACATGAAGGACATCATGGTGGAAATTGTTTCAAAACCAGCAAAGAAGAAGATGAGGACTTGTGCGGCCATTTCATCTTCGGTCAATGCTAGTTTTTGGTTCGGGCCGGTTTTTCCAATATCAGATTCTTCAACTGATGCAAAACCAGCGTCTTTGTGTTCGGGGGCTTCGTCATATTGAAGACGGCCTTTGCGGGCCTCCATTAATAAATTGATCATGTCAGGTCTGATGATGTTTTGTTCTTCGCGAGTTTTGACTGTGTCATGTACCATTTCCTGGAAGAACCTGGTCACAGAATCTGGAAAGAGGCTTAATCCCAACAACTGTAACAAAAACTAATATTAATCTCTGTTTATAAAATAAATAATGTCCATTTACTTACACTACACAGTTTTGGTGCTAACACATTCAACAATAACTTTATATTTTGAAAAACTCCACTAAAATTGGTCACAGTTCTTCCATTGACGTAGAAATCATTTTCTGGATCTTTTAAAGAATCAACTTTAACTCCAAACGCACAGTTTGCAATCACATCATTAGCAAAACGTGTAAAAGAGTCCTTCAGTTCCAAATCAACAACTTTTTGGTTCTTTTTTAAATAAAAATCGACGTATTGCTGAGCAGATTTCTCCATCAAAACAAACATGGCGCGCATTTTGCTTGAAGTGAAGGTGGGACTTAAAGTTGCACGCATATCCCTCCAGGTGTCGCCTTTCAACGCAAACAAGTTCTTAGTCCAAATGGGTTCAACGTTTTCTTGCGCAAATTGTCTGTGATCTACGAAATGATCAAAATCCTTGATGGTTATTTGTTTGATGAGGTCCGGGTCACGCAACATTAAAGATGGCATCGTCATTTGGTACACACCAACATATCTAAAGATATTAAACAAAAAATGTAAAAATGTTTTTTTTTTGCAAAATAATGAATCATACCGTTCATCTTTAAATCGGTTGTACATCCGATGAAACATCTCCATCATTGACTCCTTACCAAGAAGATTCCTCCAGTTCTCACCCAGAATGGGTACGGGTGGTCCTTGCTTCACATGTCTTTCTGTCCAATGCAGCTGAGGTTTGTAGAGGTAATAATAAAAGAAAAGCGCGAATGCGCCCAGTGCCAAAACCCACAACATGATGATTTGAACTGAAATAAACGCTTTCCAAGCAATACATTTATACCAAACTATTATCACTATAAGTACCCACTTGAACACTATCAGTAAATTTTTAATCAATGCTTAGTAATTATTGAGGTGAATTGCAAAAATCATTTGCGGTGATTCAGACTCAAAACATTTGCGCACTTCAAATGTACGTGCACACGACTGAATAATAATACTAATAATAAAACTTGTTGGTATGTACTCGTATTGAATGAGCTGGTACCTCCCACATGAAACCTATAATTTAGAATCACGTGGGAGACTACTCGTTGATTGCCACTAGCAAAAAATTGCTGGGAATTGTTTGGTTATTGTTAAAATGCAAAAAATGTCCTTCAAAAAGATTGTTTTTGGTAAAACTAAATTTATTTATTTATGTTTATCCATCCAAGGTTATATGTTACATACGTCATACAGAAATCAAATGTGAACTTTCACTTGTTATGAATAGATACTTAAGTAGTTATCTAACCTCTTTTTTTCTGTTCTAAAATTTCTTTTTTATAATTATGATTAATATTAACGCACAAGATTTTCTCTGCGTTTGAAACCAACCCAACAACCACCTTCAATCGCTGGATTAAGCGATTTCTTAGAAATCTTCATTGGAACAGTAGTTTTCTCAATGACAGTCAATTCAAAGTTGCTCAGAATATGGAAAATCAAGGTCTTACATTCCATCAACGCAAATCTAGACCCAATACAATTCCTAGGTCCAACACCAAATGGTAAGTAAGTATAAGGTTTAATAAGGTCTTTGTTCTCGTCAGAGAAACGCTCGGGATCAAATTTATCCGGATTGGGATACAGTTTCTCATCGTTATGTATACCAACAACAGGAATGATAATCAAATCACCAACGTTAACTTTCAAAGGTGTTTCATGTGGTAGTTCAGGTTGAATGGTATAGGCTTTGGTGCAAATTCTATCTGTCATGACAGCTGCGGGGTTTTTACGCATACTCTCCGAGATGACCATGTCCATATACTTCATTTTGTTTAAAACGTCATAGGTTAGCTTCCCGTTGTTATTTTTATAGGTTAAGTCAATTTCCTGATGAAGTTTTTCTTGAATTTCCGGATGTAGGGCTAATTCATAACACATGAAAGACATCATGGTGGAAATTGTTTCGAAACCAGCGAAGAAAAAGATGAGGACTTGGGCGGCCATGTCACTTTCGGTCATTGCTAGTTTTTGATTGACTCCTACTTTTCCAATATCGGATTCTTCAACAGTTGCAAAACCAGCGTCTTGTTTTTCAGTGGATTCTTCATAGTGAAGACGTCCTTTACGTGCCTCCATTAGTAAATTGATCATATCCGGTCGGATGATGTTTTGTTCCTCACGCATTTTGACTGTATCATGAATAAGACTTTGGAAGAATTGCGTGACGTTGGATTCAAATATACTTAACCCAAGACACTGTAAAATTTTTTAAAAATTTAATTTTTTGAATAATTTTTTATGAGTTTACTTACAGCTGAGAGTTTAGGTGACATCATGCTTAATAAAAACTTCATTTGCTTGACGAATCCTGAAAAGTTGGTTGCAGCTTTTCCTTTCATATAGAACTCATTTTCCGGTTCTTTTAATGAATCAACTTTGACGCCAAAAGCACAATTTGCAATCACATCATTAGCAAAACGAGTGAATGAATCTTTCAATTCCAATTCAATCACGTTTTTGTTTTGTTTCAAGTAGAAATCAACGTATTGCTGGCCAGATTTCTCCATCAACACAAACATTGATCGCATTTTGCTCGCTGTGAAAGTAGGACTTAAAGTTGCACGCATATCTCTCCAAGTATCACCTTTCAATGAGAATAAATTCTTCGTCCAGATAGGTTCAACGTTTTCAGGCGCAAATAGCCTGTGATCAACGAAATGATCAAAATCTTTGATGGTTATTTGTTTGATCAATTCAGGATCACGTATCATAAGTGAAGGCATTGTTGTTTGATAGAAACCAGCATAACTAATTAATTAAATAATAAAATTTATTTCGAAAAAATTTAATTTTGAATTTTTTGACTTACCGATCATTTTTATGACGATTATAAATACGTTTGAGCATTTCCATCATAGCCTCCTGCCCGAGAACATTTTTCCAGTTGTCTCCTAGTATGGGTACGGGTGGTCCTTGGCTGACATTTTTTTCTTTCCAATATAATTGAGGTTTATACAGGAAATAATAGAAAAATAACACAGCTGCCGCAATTCCCAACACCCACAACATTTTAATGCGTAGATTCTACTATCAATCAAATTTAATATCAATAAATTCAATTTATTAATAAATTTTTATCAAGGTTTTTATTGTGTGTGATCTCCGCTAGCTCTCGAGTCGGAATAACAACAAATTGGTTGAGAAATCGTTATTATTATGATGGAATCATGTAACACTCGCGTGAAACGAAATAATAAGTCAAGTATTTTATGAAATCTCTGAGTGGAAGTGGTAGGGAGCGCTCATTAACCACTTAGTCACACAGCGCATGCGCTAAGCACTTAACTGGTTTCGCAATAGTCAATGTTATCTAACTAAATAAAAAACAGTAATTATACAATGTGACATTATTTATTGTCTCTGCGTTTGTATCCAACCCAAAACCCACCTTCAATAGCAGAATTGAATTGATTCTTAACATATTTCATCGGAATTGGAGTCTTATCAATAACAATCAATTCAAAATTGTTCAGAATATGAAAGATTAAAGTCTTACATTCCATCAGCGCAAATCTAGACCCAATACAATTCCGTGGTCCAGTACCAAACGGGATAAAACTATATAAATTAATATTTTCTTTGTTTTCGTCTGAAAATCGCTCTGGATCAAACTTAGAAGGGTTCGGATAATACTTCTCATCGTGATGAATACCAGCTACTGGTATCCATAGACAATCGCCTACTTTGAGGTTCAAAGGATGTTCATGTTGATTTACCGGTTGGATAGTGTAAGGTTTTGTACAAATTCTATCCATAGCAATTGCAGGTGGGTTCTTACGCATACCTTCAGAGATAACCATGTCCATGTACTTCATTTTGTTTAAAACATCATAGGTTAGCTTCCCGTTGTTGTTTTTATAGGTTACGTCAATTTCCTGATGTAGTTTCTCTTGAATGTCTGGATTGACAGCAAGTTCATAGCATAAAAATGACATCATGGTGGAAATACTGTCAAAACCAGCAAAGAAAAAGATTAAAACCTGTGCTGTCATGTCTAATTCAGTCATAGGTGTCTTCTGCACTTGTGTTTTCTTTCCGATGTCAGATTCTTCAACAGTTGCGAAACCAGCGTCTTGTTTTTCACTGGATTCTTCGTATTGGAGTTGACCTTTCTGTGCTTCTATTAATAAATTAATCATGTCAGGACGGACAATATTTTGTTCCTTACGGAGTTTCAAAGTGTCATGAACCAATTTTCTAAAAAATTCAGAAACTGCTGGACTGAACGCGCTGAGTTTAAAAACCCGAGCAATTTTCGGCATTGTCATATTAACCAAAAACTTTATCGTTTGTACAAATCCAGTGAAATTCGTAGCTTCTTTACCTTTCAAATAAAACTCATTTTCCGGTTCTGTTAGAGAATCAACGGTGATACCAAACGCACAACTTGCTATTACATCATTAGCAAATCGAGTGAATGAGTCTTTAAGTTCAATGTCAAGGACATTTTTGTTTTTCTGTAGATAGAAGTCAATGTATTGCTGGGCGGCCTTCTCCATCAAAACAAACATCGCACGCATTTTGCTCGAGGTGAAGGTGGGACTCAATGTCGCACGCATGTTACGCCATTTGTCACCTTGCAATGAGAATAAGTTTTTGGACCATAATGGATCGGATCCTTCCGGTACGAATTGTCTGTGATCGACGAAATGATCAAAGTCCTTGACTGTCACTTGCTTGATGAGGTCCAGGTCACGCAGCATTAACGTAGGCAACATCATTTGGTAAATGCCTTCATAACTACAACTTGACCTTATTAACACTGTTTACTTAATTTATTTGGAGCAATTTGTCTTACCGTTCATTGCTGTGGCGGTTGTATAGGCGTTGGACCATTTCAATCATGGCTTCCTGTCCGGTGATGCTTTTGAAATTGTCACCTAGTATTGGAATTGGTATTCCTTGTTTTATGTGTTTTTCTTTCCAGTATAATTGAGGTTTGTAGAGGTAATAATAAAATATTAAGCAGAGCAGCACAATAAACAATAACCAAATCATGATTTTTAACTGTTTTTGTAAATAATTATGTGAAAAAACTGTTTTAACGAGAGGAGATGTGTCTGCTTCAAATGTTTGATTCACATTAACAAAAATAGCGTGTTGGAGTCGGATTCAGTGTGACCCTGAACATAATTGTATGTTAATGGACGGTAGCTATGGTTACAAACACATGGGAAGGTACAGTGGACTTTACTTTACCAAATAAACGTCCTCTAATTGTCTGAATACATCCCTACTAATATTATAAATGCGAAAGTCTTGATGTTTGTTACACTTTCACGCAAAAACTACTTAACAGATCATCATGAAAATTTGTACACATATTCTTAGTGGTGCCAGAATGGTTATAGGCTACTTTCTATTTAATAAAACAAATTATTTTTTAAATAAAATAAAGAAATTGTTTAGCCAATAATACCTCTGCATCTGGCTATTTGACTACTTTAACGCCATCTAGCATTCCAGCAATGAAGCTCAAACCTAAGTACTTTAGTACCATCACACTGTATTATCACACTGTATTACCGACAGCTACGTCAACATCAAATCCAATTGACTACACTATGGAGACTGTACACTATACTTCCATAGACTATACTTTCAGCCATTTTAAACTTCCCGCCATTCTACTTCATTGTTACTTCTTCTGTGACTACAGACGCGTACGGAAGAAACTTCATTATTTTAGATATTCGCGAACGAAGCCGCGGGTTAAAGCTAGTAAATAATAAATAAAACAAATTTAAACACTAAATATCTACGTTTATTCTAATAATTAATTATAAATCACTTAATATTTCCTAAGAAACATTCTGTCTGCGTTTGTATCCAACCCAGAACCCTCCTTCAATAGCAGGGTTAAACTGTTGCTTAGCCAATTTCATTGGAATGGTAGTTTTAGCAATCACAGTCAATTCAAAGTTCCTCAAAATATGAAAAACCAAAGTTTTGCATTCCATCAACGCAAATCTTGACCCAATACAATTCCTAGGTCCAGAACCAAATGGTAGGTACCCATACGCATTAATATTGCCCTTGTTTTCATCCGAAAAGCGTTCTGGATCAAATTTAGATGGGTTGGGATACAGGTCTTCATCATGATGTATTCCAGCAATAGGCAACCAGATAACATCGCCGGGTTTCAAATGCACGGGTTGTTCATTAGGTCTTTCCGGTTTGATGGTATAGGCTTTGGTGCAAACCCTATCAACAGCAATCGCTGGGGAATTCTTACGCATACCTTCCGAGATGACCATATCCATGTACTTCATTTTATTGAGGACATCATAGGATATTTTGCCTTTGTTTTCTTCTAAGGTGCCATCGATTTCCTGACGCAGTTTCTCTTGAACATCAGGGTTAACAGCTAGTTCATAGCAAAGGAAAGACATCATTGTGGATATGGTATCGAAACCAGCGAAGAAGAAGATGAGGACTTGTGCGGCCATGTCTAATTCAGTCATTGGGGCCTTCTTCACTTGAACCTTCTTCCCAATATCAGATTCTTCAACTGTAGCAAAACCTGAGTCTTGGGTTTCACTGGATTCTTCATATTGAAGACGTCCTTTGCGGGCCTCCATTAGTAAATTGATCATATCCGGTCGGATGATGTTTTGTTCCTCACGCATCTTTACAGTATCATGTATTAGGTCTTTGAAGAACTGTGTAACTTTAGGAGTAAACAAACTAATCTTCAAAAGTTGTGCCACCTTAGGAGCTGCGATATTCAAGAGGAATTTCATGGTTTGTTTCAACCCTGCGAAGTTGGTAGCTTCTTTCCCATTCATATAAAATTCATTTTCCGGTTCTTTTAGAGAATCAACGGTGATGCCAAAGGCGCATGTAGCAATCACATCATTAGCGAAACGGGTGAATGAGTCTTTAAGTTCAATGTCAAGGACATCTTTGTTTTTCTGTAGGTAGAAGTCAATGTATTGCTGGGCGGCCTTCTCCATCAAAACAAACATGGCGCGCATTTTGCTCGAAGTGAAGGTAGGACTCAAAGTAGCACGCATGTCTCTCCATGCGTCACCTTTTAAAGAAAATAGATTTTTGGTCCATAGGGGATCAGCACCTTCAGCTTGGAACTGTCTGTGGTCCACGAAATGGTCGAAATCTTTTACTGTTATTTGCTTGATGAGGTCCAGGTCACGTATCATTAATGTCGGCAAGGTCATTTGGTACATACCAGTGTAACTATATAAAATATATCATTATTTAATATAAAATTTAATCTATATATATAAAAATGAATTGCTGTTCGTTAGTCTCGCTAAAACTCGAGAACGGCTGAACGGATTTATCTTATTTTGGTCTTGAATTATTCGTGGAGGTCTAGGGAAGGTTTAAAAGGTGAGAAAAATTCGAATAATTGCCGGGAAAATCCTCAAAACAGCTCTTTTCTATAGAATAAAATTTGACATTGAGATGCAATCATAGTTATAGTTAAATAGTTGAATTCGAGATGGCGCGCTGAAGTGCATTATTGACAAAACTTTATATAATTAATTTCTTTAAATTAAAATTGCTAATCTTATTGATAGAATTGACTCTTACTACAAGTATGTATAGAACAAGAGAGTAAAAACGAATTACATTTTTATTAAACACTGCCGGAACGAAGTAGCGGGCAACAGCTAGTAAAAAATAAAAATTTAATCTATAAACTTACCGACGATCTTTGTTACGGTTATACAATCGTTTGACCGTATCCATCATGGCTTCCTGCCCAGTAATAGTCCAAAAATTATCCCCTAGGATAGGAATTGGTGTTCCTTGCTTCACATTTCTATCAGACCAATACTGCTGAGGCCGGAAGAGGAAGTAATAGAACAGCAACGCACCCGCCACAATCACCAAAGCCCAAATCATGGTGATGAATTGTCACAAACTGTAAAATTTAATTATAAACACATTTATTTATACCCAGAAGCAAAACAAATCAAAATGAATCATAACTTTATCAAATTAATCTCTATCTGATAAAACAACAAATCCTAGTGATTATAAACTAGTCTACATACCTGATAGTACAATTATTATCGTGATATCATAAAATTAGATGAAAAAAAAACAACTAAAGTGGATAGATGTGTCAGCATCAAGCACTCAACTCAGAATAACAACAATTTAGACGACCATGTATGTACTTTAGCTTGTAATGCGTAGTAGAATATGTAATTACTGTTGCCATGGTTACAAACACGAATATACTGTAACAAAATGTCGGTGGGTACTTACATTGAATTAAACTAGCGAGACTATTGCTTCACTTCACTAATAACACTTGTTGAATGAGTCAGAAACTCCGTTGGCGAATGTATTTAACGCAAACGCGTTTTGTGTAACGAGGGCAAAGAACCACACAAAATGGTGGAAGGTGTAATTCCTGGCAAACAACTGCACCTTCTCGAAATATTCTCGATGAGTTTCTACGGTTTGCAAAATATTATGCAAGAAATTTTAGGGTTCTGTATGCTTTTCAAGGTTATTACCGAAATGGTAATTGATTAATACACAAGTAGAGTTTTTAAAGTCTAGACGCGTTGGCGAGTAATTTTAATCTCCGCAATATTGCTAAATATAGTACTCGGTGTGTTCGTGTCAAATAAACAAATTTGATACATGTTTTTATTGCGTCATTTCAATCACATGATGACAAAGCTGTTTGGCAAAAACCTTCAGATAATTTTAACAAAAAAAAACTTGTTTGCGCGTGTAATTATCGAAAAATATTATTATTAATTGTCTCGGCGTTTGAAACCGACCCAACAACCTCCTTCAATACCCGGATTGAATTGTGCCTTTGTTAATTTCAACGGAATCGTAGTTTTCTTGATGACAACCAGTTCAAATTTACGCAGAATATGGAAAATCAACGTTTTGCTTTCCATGAGTGCAAATCTCGAACCAATACAATTCCTTGGTCCAGAACCAAATGGTAAGTAAGTGTATGGTTTAATTAAGTGTTTGTTTTCTTCCGAAAAGCGTTCGGGATCAAATTTTGATGGATTGGGATAATATTCCGGATCGTGATGAATGGCGGCGAGTGGTAACCAGATAAGATCACCGGGTACAAGATGTACAGGGTGTTCATGAGGACGTGTTGGTTCAATGGTGTAAGATTTAGTGCAGACGCGATCAACTGCGAATGCCGGTGTGTCTTTACGCATACTTTCGGAGACAACCATGTCCATGTAAGTCATTTTGTTGAGGACATCATAGGTTAGTTTTCCGTTGTTTGCTTCGAAAGTTTTATCAATTTCCTGGCGGAGTTTTTCTTGAACTTCTGGATAGACAGCTAATTCATAACACATAAATGATGTCATTGTGGAAATTGTGTCAAAACCAGCGAAGAAAAAGATTAGAACTTGTGCGGCCATTTCAGATTCGGACATTTCTAAGACCTTGGTTGGTTTTTTCCTGCCCACTTCGGATTCTTCAACAGTTGCGAAACCAGCGTCTTGTTTTTCATTGGATTCTTCGTATTGCAAACGACCTTTGCGTGCCTCCATTAATAAATTGATCATATCCGGTCGGACAATGTTGTTTTCTTCACGTAATTTGACTGTGTCACGGATGAGTTTTTTGAAAAAGTGTGTAACATCTTCCGAAAACATGCTCAGCTTAAAATACTGTAAAAAAATTCGAATTTTTTTTTTGAAAATTTACAAATTTTAGAAATACGTACATAGGCAACTTTAGGAGCAATAAAATTCATGAGGAATTTAATACTCTTCCACATTCCTCGATTGTCTGTGACTTCTTTTCCTTTAATATAAAATTCATTTTCTGGATCTTTCAATGAGTCAACTCCGACTCCAAAAGCACACGTTGCTATAACATCATTAGCAAAACGTGTGAAGGAGTCTTTAAGTTCAAGTTCAATAACATCTTGTTTTTTATTCAAATAAAAGTCGACGTATTGCTGTGCGGCTTTCTCCATTAACACAAACATTGAACGCATTTTGCTGGAGGTGAATGTTGGACTCAAGGTTGATCGCATTTCGCGCCATATGTCACCTTTTAAAGCGAATAAGTTCTTCGTCCATACTGGATCTATACTCTCCGGTACAAAGGAGCGATGATCAACAAAATGGTCGAAATCTTTGACGGTTATTTGTTTGATCAATTCGGGATCACGCAGCATTAGAGTTGGTATTGTTGTTTGATACACACCACAATATCTAAATAATTTTTGTTTTTTTAAATATTTTTTTAATTTTTGTAAATAAGTGAAAATTTTGGTACCTTTCACCTTTGCTGCGGTTGTAAATCCTTTGAACCATTTCAGTTAGAGCTTCACGTTGGAAAAAGCTCCAAAAATTGTCTCCCAACAGAGGAATAGGCATACCTTGTTTGACATGTCTCCTAGTCCAATATTGTTGAGGTTTAATCAAAAAGTAATAGAAAAAAAGGGTCCCTGCTACTAAAGCTAGCACCCAAAACATTTTGTCGGATTATTCTGTCCACTTATGATGATCATTCAGCCGAGGGTCACTTTTATACCCAATTTATTTATTTTTATCTTATCTAATGATGAATTGCACCATCAATCGAAACAATTGGCGAAACAAAACACTTTTTCTTTTATTAAATTTAATATGTTGCACAATTTGTAGAAATAAAATAGAATTGATGTTCACAGTTCTGTATCTCATTCGCAACTAAGACTAATTTTAGTAAATTTGCGATATAAATTTGTGCGCCTTACTTTGAGTGACTGGAAGGTCAAGAATATATCTAGATATATCACTAACTGAGGTCAATCGTTATTATTATGATGGAATCATGTAACACTCGCGTGAAACGAAATAATAAGTCAAGTATTTTATGAAATCGCTGAGTGGAAGTGGGAGGGAGCGCTCATTAATCACTTAGTCACACAGCGCATGCGCTAAGCACTTAACTGGTTTCGCAAGAGTCAATGTTATCTAACTGCACAAAAAACATAGTAATTATACAATGTGACATTATTTATTGTCTCTGCGTTTGTATCCAACCCAAAACCCACCTTCAATAGCAGAATTGAATTGATTCTTAACATATTTCATCGGAATCGGAGTCTTATCAATGACAATCAATTCAAATTTGTTCAGAATATGAAAAATTAAAGTCTTACATTCCATCAGCGCAAATCTTGACCCAATACAATTCCTTGGTCCTGTACCAAATGGAATAAAACTATATAAATTAATATTCCCTTTGTTTTCGTCTGAAAATCGCTCTGGATCAAACCTTGAAGGATTTGGATAATATTTCTCATCGTGATGAATACCAGCAACTGGTATCCATAGACAATCGCCTACTTTGAGGTTCAAAGGATGTTCATGTTGATTTACCGGTTGGATAGTGTAAGGTTTTGTACAAATTCTATCCATAGCAATTGCAGGTGGGTTCTTACGCATACCTTCAGAGATAACCATGTCCATGTACTTCATTTTGTTTAAAACATCATAGGTTAGCTTCCCGTTGTTGTTTTTATAGGTTACGTCAATTTCCTGATGTAGTTTCTCTTGAATGTCTGGATTGACAGCAAGTTCATAGCATAAAAATGACATCATGGTGGAAATACTGTCAAAACCAGCAAAGAAAAAGATTAAAACCTGTGCTGTCATGTCTAATTCAGTCATAGGTGTCTTCTGCACTTGTGTTTTCTTTCCGATGTCAGATTCTTCAACAGTTGCGAAACCAGCGTCTTGTTTTTCACTGGATTCTTCGTATTGGAGTTGACCTTTCTGTGCTTCTATTAATAAATTAATCATGTCAGGACGGACAATATTTTGTTCCTTACGGAGTTTCAAAGTGTCATGAACCAATTTTCTAAAAAATTCAGAAACTGCTGGACTGAACGCGCTGAGTTTAAAAAACCCGAGCAATTTTCGGCATTGTCATATTAACCAAAAACTTTATCGTTTGTACAAATCCAGTGAAATTCGTAGCTTCTTTACCTTTCAAATAAAACTCATTTTCCGGTTCTGTTAGAGAATCAACGGTGATACCAAACGCACAACTTGCTATTACATCATTAGCAAATCGAGTGAATGAGTCTTTAAGTTCAATGTCAAGGACATTTTTGTTTTTCTGTAGATAGAAGTCAATGTATTGCTGGGCGGCCTTCTCCATCAAAACAAACATCGCACGCATTTTGCTCGAGGTGAAGGTGGGACTCAATGTCGCACGCATGTTACGCCATTTGTCACCTTGCAATGAGAATAAGTTTTTGGACCATAATGGATCGGATCCTTCCGGTACGAATTGTCGGTGATCCACGAAATGATCAAAGTCCTTGACTGTCACTTGCTTGATGAGGTCCAGGTCACGCAGCATTAACGTAGGCAACATCATTTGGTAGATGCCTTCATAACTACAACTTGACCTTATTAATACTGTTTATTTAATTTATTTGGAGCAATTTGTCTTACCGCTCATCGCTGTGACGGTTGTATAGGCGTTGGACCATTTCAATCATGGCTTCCTGTCCGGTGATGCTTTTGAAATTGTCACCAAGTATAGGAATTGGTATTCCTTGTTTTATATTTTTCTTTTTCCAGTATAATTGAGGTTTGTAGAGGTAATAATAAAATATTAAGCAGAACAGCACGGTAAACAATAACCAAATCATGTTTTTGAATTGTTTTTGTAAATAATTATATGAAAAAATTGATTTAAGGAGTAGAGATGTGTCTGCTTCAAATGTTTGATTCACAATAACATAAATAGCGTGTTGGAGTCGAATTCAGTGTGACCCTGAAGTTAATTGTATAGTAATGGACGGTAGCTATGGTTACCAACACATGGCAAGGTACAGTGGACGTTGCTTTGCCAAATAAACGTCCTCTAATTGTCTGAATACATCCCTACTAATATTATAAATGCGAAAGTCCTGATGTTTGTTACACTTTCACGCAAAAACTACTTAACCGATCATTATGAAAATTTGTACACATATTCTTAGTGGTCCCCGAATGGTTATAGGCTACTTTCTATTTAATAAAAAAAATTATTTTTTAAATAAAATAAAGAAATTGTTTAGCCAATAATACCTTTGCATCTGGCTATTTGACTACTTTAACGCCATCTAGCATTCCAGCAATGAAGCTCAAACCTAAGTACTATAGTACCATCACACTGTATTATCACACTGTATTACCGACAGCTACGTCAACATCAAATCCAATTGACTACACTATGGAGACTGTACACTATACTTCCATAGACTATACTTTCAGCCATTTTAAACTTCCCGCCATTCTACTTCATTGTTACTTCTTCTGTGACTACAGACGCGTACGGAAGAAACTTCATTATTTTAGATATTCGCGAACGAAGCCGCGGGTTAAAGCTAGTAAATAATAAATAAAACAAATTTAAACACTAAATATCTACGTTTATTCTAATAATTAATTATAAATCACTTAATATTTCCTAAGAAACATTCTGTCTGCGTTTGTATCCAACCCAGAACCCTCCTTCAATAGCAGGGTTAAACTGTTGCTTAGCCAATTTCATTGGAATGGTAGTTTTAGCAATCACAGTCAATTCAAAGTTCCTCAAAATATGAAAAACCAAAGTTTTGCATTCCATCAACGCAAATCTTGACCCAATACAATTCCTAGGTCCAGAACCAAATGGTAGGTACCCATACGCATTAATATTGCCCTTGTTTTCATCCGAAAAGCGTTCTGGATCAAATTTAGATGGGTTGGGATACAGGTCTTCATCATGATGTATTCCAGCAATAGGCAACCAGATAACATCGCCGGGTTTCAAATGCACGGGTTGTTCATTAGGTCTTTCCGGTTTGATGGTATAGGCTTTGGTGCAAACCCTATCAACAGCAATCGCTGGGGAATTCTTACGCATACCTTCCGAGATGACCATATCCATGTACTTCATTTTATTGAGGACATCATAGGATATTTTGCCTTTGTTTTCTTCTAAGGTGCCATCGATTTCCTGACGCAGTTTCTCTTGAACATCAGGGTTAACAGCTAGTTCATAGCAAAGGAAAGACATCATTGTGGATATGGTATCGAAACCAGCGAAGAAGAAGATGAGGACTTGTGCGGCCATGTCTAATTCAGTCATTGGGGCCTTCTTCACTTGAACCTTCTTCCCAATATCAGATTCTTCAACTGTAGCAAAACCTGAGTCTTGGGTTTCACTGGATTCTTCATATTGAAGACGTCCTTTGCGGGCCTCCATTAGTAAATTGATCATATCCGGTCGGATGATGTTTTGTTCCTCACGCATCTTTACAGTATCATGTATTAGGTCTTTGAAGAACTGTGTAACTTTAGGAGTAAACAAACTAATCTTCAAAAGTTGTGCCACCTTAGGAGCTGCGATATTCAAGAGGAATTTCATGGTTTGTTTCAACCCTGCGAAGTTGGTAGCTTCTTTCCCATTCATATAAAATTCATTTTCCGGTTCTTTTAGAGAATCAACGGTGATGCCAAAGGCGCATGTAGCAATCACATCATTAGCGAAACGGGTGAATGAGTCTTTAAGTTCAATGTCAAGGACATCTTTGTTTTTCTGTAGGTAGAAGTCAATGTATTGCTGGGCGGCCTTCTCCATCAAAACAAACATGGCGCGCATTTTGCTCGAAGTGAAGGTAGGACTCAAAGTAGCACGCATGTCTCTCCATGCGTCACCTTTTAAAGAAAATAGATTTTTGGTCCATAGGGGATCAGCACCTTCAGCTTGGAACTGTCTGTGGTCCACGAAATGGTCGAAATCTTTTACTGTTATTTGCTTGATGAGGTCCAGGTCACGTATCATTAATGTCGGCAAGGTCATTTGGTACATACCAGTGTAACTATATAAAATATATCATTATTTAATATAAAATTTAATCTATATATATAAAAATGAATTGCTGTTCGTTAGTCTCGCTAAAACTCGAGAACGGCTGAACGGATTTATCTTATTTTGGTCTTGAATTATTCGTGGAGGTCTAGGGAAGGTTTAAAAGGTGAGAAAAATTCGAATAATTGCCGGGAAAATCCTCAAAACAGCTCTTTTCTATAGAATAAAATTTGACATTGAGATGCAATCATAGTTATAGTTAAATAGTTGAATTCGAGATGGCGCGCTGAAGTGCATTATTGACAAAACTTTATATAATTAATTTCTTTAAATTAAAATTGCTAATCTTATTGATAGAATTGACTCTTACTACAAGTATGTATAGAACAAGAGAGTAAAAACGAATTACATTTTTATTAAACACTGCCGGAACGAAGTAGCGGGCAACAGCTAGTAAAAAATAAAAATTTAATCTATAAACTTACCGACGATCTTTGTTACGGTTATACAATCGTTTGACCGTATCCATCATGGCTTCCTGCCCAGTAATAGTCCAAAAATTATCCCCTAGGATAGGAATTGGTGTTCCTTGCTTCACATTTCTATCAGACCAATACTGCTGAGGCCGGAAGAGGAAGTAATAGAACAGCAACGCACCCGCCACAATCACCAAAGCCCAAATCATGGTGATGAATTGTCACAAACTGTAAAATTTAATTATAAACACATTTATTTATACCCAGAAGCAAAACAAATCAAAATGAATCATAACTTTATCAAATTAATCTCTATCTGATAAAACAACAAATCCTAGTGATTATAAACTAGTCTACATACCTGATAGTACAATTATTATCGTGATATCATAAAATTAGATGAAAAAAAAACAACTAAAGTGGATAGATGTGTCAGCATCAAGCACTCAACTCAGAATAACAACAATTTAGACGACCATGTATGTACTTTAGCTTGTAATGCGTAGTAGAATATGTAATTACTGTTGCCATGGTTACAAACACGAATATACTGTAACAAAATGTCGGTGGGTACTTACATTGAATTAAACTAGCGAGACTATTGCTTCACTTCACTAATAACACTTGTTGAATGAGTCAGAAACTCCGTTGGCGAATGTATTTAACGCAAACGCGTTTTGTGTAACGAGGGCAAAGAACCACACAAAATGGTGGAAGGTGTAATTCCTGGCAAACAACTGCACCTTCTCGAAATATTCTCGATGAGTTTCTACGGTTTGCAAAATATTATGCAAGAAATTTTAGGGTTCTGTATGCTTTTCAAGGTTATTACCGAAATGGTAATTGATTAATACACAAGTAGAGTTTTTAAAGTCTAGACGCGTTGGCGAGTAATTTTAATCTCCGCAATATTGCTAAATATAGTACTCGGTGTGTTCGTGTCAAATAAACAAATTTGATACATGTTTTTATTGCGTCATTTCAATCACATTAGTGTTATTCAACAATTCATGATGACAAAGCTGTTTGGCAAAAACCTTCAGATAATTTTAACAAAAAAAAACTTGTTTGCGCGTGTAATTATCGAAAAATATTATTATTAATTGTCTCTGCGTTTGAAACCGACCCAACAACCTCCTTCAATACCCGGATTGAATTGTGCCTTTGTTAATTTCAACGGAATTGTAGTTTTCTTGATAACAACCAGTTCGAATTTACGTAAAATATGAAAAATCAACGTTTTGCTTTCCATCAATGCAAATCTAGAACCAATACAATTCCTGGGTCCAGAACCAAATGGTAAGTAAGTGTATGGTTTAATTAAGTGTTTGTTTTCTTCCGAAAAGCGTTCGGGATCAAATTTAGATGGATTGGGATAATATTCCGGATCGTGATGAATGGCGGCCAGTGGTAACCAGATCAGATCACCGGGTACAAGATGTACAGGGTGTTCATGAGGACGTGTTGGTTCAATGGTGTAAGATTTGGTGCAGACGCGATCAACTGCGAATGCCGGTGTGTCTTTACGCATACTTTCGGAGACAACCATGTCCATGTAAGTCATTTTGTTGAGGACATCATAGGTTAGTTTTCCGTTGTTAGCCTCGAAGGTTTTATCAATTTCCTGGCGGAGTTTTTCTTGAACTTCTGGATGCACAGCTAATTCATAACACATAAATGATGTCATTGTGGAAATTGTGTCAAAACCAGCAAAGAAAAAGATTAAAACTTGTGCGGCCATTTCGGATTCGGACATTTCTAGGACTTTTGTTGGTTTTTTCCTGCCCACTTCGGATTCTTCAACGGTTGCGAAACCAGCGTCTTGTTTTTCATTGGATTCTTCGTATTGCAAACGACCTTTGCGTGCCTCCATTAATAAATTGATCATATCCGGTCGGACAATGTTGTTTTCTTCACGTAATTTGACTGTGTCACGGATGAGTTTTTTGAAAAAGTGTGTAACATCTTCCGAAAACATGCTCAGCTTAAAATACTGTAAAAATTTCAAAATTTTAATTTTTTTTGTTAATTTATCAAATTTTAGAAATACCTACATAGGCAACTTTAGGAGCAATAAAATTCATCAGGAATTTAATACTCTTCCACATTCCTCGATTATCTGTGACTTCTTTTCCTTTGATATAAAATTCATTTTCTGGGTCTTTCAATGAGTCAACTCCGACTCCGAAAGCACACGTTGCTATAACATCATTAGCAAAACGTGTGAAGGAGTCTTTAAGTTCAAGTTCAATAACATCTTGTTTTTTATTCAAATAAAAGTCGACGTATTGCTGTGCGGCTTTCTCCATTAACACAAACATTGAACGCATTTTGCTGGAGGTGAATGTTGGACTCAAGGTTGATCGCATTTCGCGCCATATGTCACCTTTTAAAGCGAATAAGTTCTTCGTCCATACTGGATCTATACTCTCCGGTACAAAGGAGCGATGATCAACAAAATGGTCGAAATCTTTGACGGTTATTTGTTTGATCAATTCGGGATCACGCAGCATTAGAGTTGGTATTGTTGTTTGATACACACCACAATATCTAAATAATTTTGTTTTTAAATATTTTTTAATTTTTGTAAATAAGTGAAAATTTTGGTACCTTTCACCTTTGCTGCGGTTGTAAATCCTTTGAACCATTTCAGTTAGAGCTTCACGTTGGAAAAAGCTCCAAAAATTGTCTCCCAACAGAGGAATAGGCATACCTTGTTTGACATGTCTCCTAGTCCAATATTGTTGAGGTTTAATCAAAAAGTAATAGAAAAAAAGGGTCCCTGCTACTAAAGCTAGCACCCAAAACATTTTGTCGGATTATTCTGTCCACTTATGATGATCATTCAGCCGAGGGTCACTTTTATACCCAATTTATTTATTTTTATCTTATCTAATGATGAATTGCACCATCAATCGAAACAATTGGCGAAACAAAACACTTTTTCTTTTATTAAATTTAATATGTTGCACAATTTGTAGAAATAAAATAGAATTGATGTTCACAGTTCTGTATCTCATTCGCAACTAAGACTAATTTTAGTAAATTTGCGATATAAATTTGTGCGCCTTACTTTGAGTGACTGGAAGGTCAAGAATATATCTAGATATATCACTAACTGAGGTCAATTTTGCTCCGAAGCCAAAACTTTAAACCGTAACCTTCAAAATATTTTGTACAAATAGTAAATATTATTAACTACTAGCTTTAACCCACGGCTTCGCTCGCGAATATCTAAAATAAGTTGCTTCTGTAGGCGTCTGTAGTCACAGAAGAAGTAACAATGAAGTAGAATGGCGGGAAGTTTAAAATGGCTGAAAGTATAGTCTATGGAAGTATAGTGTACAGTCTCCATAGTGTAGTCAATTGGATTTGATGTTGACGTAGCTGTCGGTAATACAGTGTGATAATACAGTGTGATGGTACTATAGTACTTAGGTTTGAGCTTCATTGCTGGAATGCTAGATGGCGTTAAAGTAGTCCAATAGCCAGATGCAGAAGTATTATTGGCTAAACAATTTCTTTATTTTATTTAAAAAATATTTTTTTATTAAATAGAAAGTAGCCTATAACCATTCGGGGACCACTAAGAATATGTGTACAAATTTTCATGATGATCGGTTAAGTAGTTTTGGCGTGAAAGTGTAACAAACATCAGGACTTTTTATTAACTATAATTTATTTAATAAGTTTAGTGATTAAATAGTTCTTTTTTTCATCCCAATCCAGAATCCACCTTCAACAACACTACTGATGGTTCCTTTAACCAATTTCAATGGAACAGTAGATTTATCAATCACAGTCAATTCAAAGTTCCTCAAAATATGAAAAACCAAAGTTTTCACCTCCATTAACGCAAATCTAGACCCGATACAGTTCCTAGGTCCAGAACCAAATGGTAGGTAAGTGTATGGTTTAATAAGGTCTTTGTTTTCGTCTGAGAAGCGTTCCGGATCAAACTTATTAGGATTCTGATAGTGTTTCTCATCATAATGCAGAGCAACCATTGGAATCCAGATGTTATCACCTGGTTTGATATGCACTGGGTGTTCATCGGGATGTTCTGGTTTAATGGTATACTCTTTGGTGCATAACCTATCAATGAACACAGCAGGAGGATGCATTCGGAGACTTTCGGATATGGTCATATCCAAATACTTCATTCCATTCAGAATGTCGTAACTTAACTCTCCTTTGTTTTTCTCGTAAACATCGTCAATTTCCTGCCGGAGTTTTGCTTGAATTTCAGGATTCAATGCTAATTCATAGCAGGTGAAGGACATCATGGTGGAGATGGTATCGAAACCTCCGAAGAAGAAGACAAACATTTGTGCGGCAACCTCAACATCAGTGAATTCCATCTTTTTTGTACTTTGGATTTTTCCGTAATCTGATTCTTCAACAGTAGCAAAACCTGCGTCTTGAGTTTTACTGGATTCATCATATCTTAAACGACCTTTACGTGCTTCCATTAACAAGTGTACTACATCCGGTCGGATGATATTCTTTTCTTCTCGGTATTTGATGGTATCATCAGCGATTTTCTTGAAGAAATCCGTACTTTGTTTAGAAAACACGCGTAGATTCAAAGCACTGGTGATTTTTGGAGAAATTGTATTTAACCAGACGACTAAATTTTTGTATAGGCCGTTGAAGTTAGTAGCATCCGTACCATTGACGTAGAAATCATTATTGGGATCTTTGAGAGAGTCCACAGTTAACCCAAACGCACAATTTGCAATTACATCATTAGCAATACGTGAAAATGACTCTTTGAGTTCTACATCAATCACTTTTTGATTCTTATTCAAATAAAAGTCTACGAATTGCTTGGCGGATTTCTCCATCAACAAAAACATGGATCGCATTTTGCTGGAGGTAAACGTGGGACTGAGAGTGGCCCGCATTTGCTTCCAATCATCACCGGTGAGTGCGAACAAGTTGTATCCCCAAAGCGGGTCGACATGTTGGGGTGTAAGCGCTCGGTGGTCAACAAAATGGTCGAAATCTTTAACGGTCAGCTGTTTGATCAAATTTGGATCTCTAATCATCAATGTGGGTAATGTGGTTTGATACAAGCCACAATATCTAAACACAAATAATTATAACAATAATAATTATTAATAATCATATTGTTTTTCATGATTATAGCTGTACTTACCTAGCATTTTGAAACCTGCTATAAACACGTATAACCATATCCCGGAAACTCTCTCGTTTAAAAAGCAGTCTCAAGTTATCCCCAAAGATAGGCACAGGCGGTCCCTGTTTGACATTTTTCTTAGACCAATAAAGTTGTGGTTTGTAAAGAAAATAATAAAAGTATAGTGCGGAGAGCACTAGCACCATGACCCAAAACATGTTGCTTGTGGCTCAAATTAATTTAGACTGATATTCGACTCCAATGTCATTTTATTTATATATTTATACAACTATTATTTACAAGGTTTCTGATTTTAACGAACTGCTTATTCATTTAGATAAAAAGTGTAATATTTGTATCAAGTGCTTGTTGTGGAATATTTGTCTAATTTGGTTTGGCAAGTCATAAGCCGATAATGCGATAAATCAATTCATCATGACTTAGGAGTAACGTAACGTATAAACGAGTAATGCTGTTTACACTTGACAGGAGAGCAAGCGCATACCTATCTAAAGAGAGTGTGGGAGGGAGAGGGATAGGGAGAGATTTGCGGAATAGTTACGCAGCTCTTGCTGTTACACGTGAGTAAGCATGTAGCCTACCCCCACCACTATTTGCGGCTGACACCTAGGTATAGAAGAGCCCGGTTGCAGTTATCAGGGTTTTCTACCTGTATCCTATCCCTACGGGTCCAAGGTTTACGGATGTCCTCTTTCCTACTTTGCTGCCCAACTTGTCCTTAATTGCCCATGTTGGGTGGGTTTAAGTATTAATATTGTTTGGGAAAAAATTTCTAAGAGGCATTTTACCTACCATAAAAAGGATCATTTTTGCGCTTCTATTACTATTATTACAATAAATTGAGGACCTACTTAAATTAGGGGCATCTTTTCCTTTAACGTAGAATTATTGGGATCTTTGAGGGAGTTTACAGTCAACCCAAATGCCCAATTCGCAATCACATCATTAGTAATACGTGAAATTGACTCTTTGAGTTCTACATCAATCACTTTTGATTCTTTTTCAAATAAAAGTCTGCGTATTGCTTAGAGGATTTCTCCATCAACCTAAACATGGACTGCATTTTGCATTCAATAAAAACAATAACAAAAACACAACTTCAATTGTAATTATTTATTTTGCATTCTCTATAAACATATATAATATATTTAAGAATCTTTCATTATTAAAAACATTATTATAAGCAATAACTGTCCTAAACTGCCCTTTGTTTCATTCCAATCCAGAATCCTCCTTCAACGCACCTATTGACCATCCCCTTAACCAATTTCAAAGGAACAGTAGTTCTATCAATCACAGTCAATTCAAAGTTCCTCAAAATATGATAAATCAAAACCTTAACCTCCATCAACGCAAATCTAGACCCAATACAATTTCTAGGTCCAGAACCAAAGGGAAGATAAGTATAGGGTTTAACCAAGTCTTTGTTCTCGTCAGAGAAGCGTTCCGGATCAAACACAGTAGGATTCTGATAGTGCTTCTCATCATAATGCAGAGCAACCACAGGAACCCAAATGGAATCACCAGGTTTCAAATGCACGGGATGTTCATCGGGATGTTCCGGTTTAATGGTATACTCCTTGGTGCATAACCTATCAATGAAATTCGCAGGTGGATGAAGTCTTAAAGATTCCGTCACGGTCATGTCCAAGTACTTCATTCCATTTAGGATGTCATAACTTAATTGACCTTTGTTCTTCTCGTAAACTTCGTCAACTTCCTGTCTGAGTTTTGCTTGAATCTCTGGATGTAGAGCTAATTCGTAGAAGGTGAAGGACATCATGGTGGAAATGGTATCGAAACCTCCGAAGAAGAAGACAAACATTTGTGCAGCAACCTCAACATCAGTGAATTCCATCTTCTTTGTACTTTGAATTTTTCCGTAATCTGATTCTTCAACAGTAGCAAAACCTGCATCTTGGGTTTTACTGGATTCATCGTATCGTAAACGACCTTTACGTGCTTCCATCAATAAATGTACCACATCCGGTCGGATGATATTCTTTTCTTCTCGGTATCTGATAGTATCATCAGCAATTTTCTTGAAGAAATCTGTACTTTTCTTTGAAAACATGCGTAGATTCAGAGCACTGGAGATTTTTGGAGAAATTGTATTCAACCAGAAGACCATATTAGTGGAGAACCTGCCTAAATTAGTAGCGTCCTTTCCATTGATGTAGAAATCATTATTGGGGTCTTTGAGGGAGTCCACAGTCAATCCAAATGCACAATTCGCAATCACATCATTAGCAATACGTGAAAATGACTCTTTGAGTTCAACATCAATCACTTTTTGATTCTTTTTCAAATAAAAGTCTACGTATTGCTTGGCGGACTTCTCCATCAACATGAACATGGATCGCATTTTGCTGGAGGTAAAAGTAGGACTAAGGGTGGCCCGCATTTGCTTCCAATCATCACCGTTGAGAGCAAACAAGTTGTATCCCCAAAGCGGGTCGACATGTTGTGGAGTAAGCGGACGGTGGTCAACAAAATGGTCGAAGTCTTTGACGGTCAGCTGCTTGATCAAATTTGGATCTCTAATCATCAATGTGGGTAACGTAGTTTGATAGAAGCCACAATATCTAAACATTAATAAACAAACATTTTTTTTAAATTTTTTATTTCAAAAATTCGTTTTTAAATTTTTATTTACCTGGCATTTTTAAATCGGTTGTAAACTGTGACTATCATATCCTGGAAACTATCCTGCTTCAAAAGTAGTCTCAGATTATCCCCAAAGATTGGCACAGGTGGTCCCTGTTTGACATTTTTATTAAACCAATAAAGCTGTGGTTTGTAAAGGAAGTAATAAAAGAACAGTGCGAAAAGCACGAGCACCGGTGCCCAAAACATGTTGCTTGTTTCTGATATCAGTTTGAACTGCGATTCCCAACAGATTGAGTGTTTTATATAAATCCAGTCAAAATACTCGAATTACATAGTTTCAACTTACAAACAACGCACTTAAACATGCGGAGTGAACGTGTTAGATATTTGTGTTTATATTTTAATTATCGCTAAACTTGTTTTGCAAGTCATAGCCTGACGCTTAATCAATTTACGATGACTTGAGGTTAATTACGAAGTACTCTCACTTGTACTCGTATTTGAAAACACGAATACTTCAAATTATTGCTGAATCATTTCGGTCAATATTTTCAATTTTGTCGTTTTCCGGATCTTGGAATATTTTTCTTTTTATAAAAAAAATAATAAAAAATTAATTAACTTCTTTATCATCATAAAAATTTTAAAGATTTTATAAGTACCAATAATTTTTTTTCTAATTTTATGAAGTGTTTATACTTAAATTATCGTAAAACCTATAAAGCAAGTCATAATAGCCCAAATTATTAACGTTAGATGACTCCATGTTAATTATAGAATTCCTATCAATTTGATACGAAAATACTCGTGATTACTGCTGAATAATGTTTGTAAACAAGCGTCAAACATATCATGAATCAGTGCAAATTTATTATCTACTAAAAAAAGCAATTAATACGCCAGAATAATTTGTTTATTTATATTTTTAGCAAAAATATTGATTCAACCTATGCAACCAGTTATACAATCATGTGTTGAAAGTAGAAGAAGGTTACTCTTTGCATTCGAATTTATTTATATAATATAATCATGAAGTTCTTCAGTTGAGCAAATTGTACATTCAAAAATCAAGTTGTTTAAGCACGCAGGGTCTCAATACCTCCTCTGAAACCTCTGGTTGGGTCAGTGAAGCGTCCTGTATTGGAAGTTCTTCTAGCTTGACCATCAAAAGTAAATGCACCGAATTGTTCTTCTTGGGCCTGGTTGGATTCACTCTGTTGGTTAAACTTGGTCTTTTCCACTTCATATTTGACTTCCTTTACCTTTTCAAAGTTGGATTGTTGTTTTGGGATGAAGCAGATGCCTGGTGTTGATTGAATTTGCCAACATGCACGGAGAGGTCTTCCTCGTGACCACCAACATGATGGTCATCATCATCATCATCATCATCTTCCTCATGTCCATGTCCATGGTGTTGACCATGATGACCATGGTGCTCCAAACCATGTTCCAGACCATGTTCTAGTTCATGCTTGATTCCATGCAGTTGGTGTCCCACATCAATTCCAAGTCCTACTTCGTGATGTCCATAGTGATCATCATGGTGATCATCATGGTGGTCATCATCATGGTGTCCATAGTGTTTATCATGATGATCGTCATGATGGTCTAAATCATCACCATGGTGACCATATTTCTCATGGTGACCATATTTGTTATGTTTCTCGTAATCTTCCTCATGGTGTTCGGAGTGGTGCTCATCATGAACAGAATGATGACGTTCATGCTCCTCACCATGTCCATCTTCGAAACCATAATCATACGCACCACGTTTCTCGCGTTTTTCATCAAATTTCGGCGGGGTTTCCTCCCGTGGCAGTTCCTGTTCCGCTGGCTTAAAATCAGCGGGCAATATGGCGGCGTTCACACAGTAAACAATACCCACCAACGCAGCAATGAACAAAACCTGCAAAAAATAGAAATTTACTCATTTAATGCACTCAAGTAGTCCAAGCATATAATAGACACTTAAATTAATTAATAATCGTTTTAATTGGCTTCACGTAATAATAAAAGTTCCCAAATTAACTTACACTTTTCCCCATTGTTTAAGTTTAGGCGTACCAATAGAAAACTTCACTTCAAATATTACTATATTAATATTTGTTGAAGTTGTACCTTCAACTGTGATTTCTTCTCATCGGCCTGGCTTTTTATATCAAAAGACAAAAAGCAAAACAAGTTACTTCATTACTGTGATATGTTATCATTAAAACTTGAATTTTTGGAAAACTCAAACAGACGTTTTTTTTTAGTGTACGCAGAATTAACCACGTCATTAAGTTTCTGCGGCGTGTAATTACCACGCGTTAATGCGTGATATGAATATTGGAATTAACGTCAATTAATAAACGCAGTTTGAACGTGAAAATAATCAATTTAGAAGTTGTACGTAAAGCCTACGTAAGATTTAATTATTAGTTTCTATTTGACCGCTTGTAAAACAACGTTACATAAATATAATTCGCATAATTCGCGAAAACACATAATAATTACAAGTGTAATCATCGATGTGTGCAAAATTTATCAAATTATAGTTGAATTACTAAAATAAACTAAAATTTCATCATTTTTTGCAAAAACACCAAAATGGTTGACACATAATGCATTATTGGTTGCCTACATTACCGCAACAGGTTATTACATACATTACGATTAAAAATAATAAAAATAATTATTTCAAGTACCAGCAACTAAACTATAACCACGTACACGTTTTATATCTTCCTAATAGGCACGATAATGGACGTTAATTGTCGCGGATCGTGATTTACGACCTGGCGAGTCGAAGAATTTCAGTAATTGCTGGTATAGTCTCGCATTTTATTCCTGCACTTCTTGTTTTGACAAACGAGAATCGTGAAAAACGCACGTGAAGCCTTCAGGGATTCAGGGTTCAGTGTAAATTAATTTATAATCGTCAATAATTTATTCCACTGCACAATCACGACTTGTTTCAAACTCAACTCAAGGCCGCCGCCATTATTTCCTCTAACATTATCTGAAAAGATGAGCCAGTAAGTTTTATTACATTATTTATTTATTATTCATTACAAGGTATGTCACAAAGAATAAAAAAATATGTGCGGTATGATCAATTAAATATTTAATAGTTAATCTACGTCTACGCCATGTACCAAAATGTTTATGTATAAATAATTTAAAATAATCACAGACGCGCAGCGGAAAATAACGTTTTTTATGTTTTTAAACATTTGGCCTTGAAATTGAGTGTTTTTTAACATTTAAATGGATTTTCATGACTTCCGTACTCATTATGAAGATCTACGTGCGTAATTTTCTCCGATTAAAAAACCGGATGTTTGCCAAATGTCGTTTTTCTTTCATCGATTGTATAGGTGACGCTGATGTCGTTGTTGTGGTTATGTCAAGTTTACGAAAATGCAACTGCATGAGCGTCTCGCTGGGTTTTCGCGTAAACAACGCGCCGCGATTGTATTGCTTTGGCGGCGCATTGTTCTTCGGCTTTTCAACCTGTCGCGGCTTGAAGTTTCTGTTCGTGAACTTGTACTTGTGCGGAATCTTGCTACGCGCGCCATGGAGTCCGTTGCCGGTCGCGGCAGAGGAGATTTCTCTTTTCTTGTTCTTCTCCGTCGGCGGCTTCGGTGTCTTCGCACGCGGTTTAAATTTCCTCACAACGATACGTTTTCGCATCGGATTCATGATACTTGTTGTGCGTAGAGGTTTCTGTGTGGTGACATCTTGTAAAATACGATTTTCCGATGATAAATCCTCATCACTTTGCTCACTTTTCACGAGCACACGTTTGGCAAACTTTATTTTAGGTACAGGTTTATGATTTTGACGTACAGATGGCGCACTAGTAACTTTAACCTCACTTTGAGGCTGTGGTAATGGTTGTATCACGTGATTCACATCGGAATAACTGCCTTCGGCGTCAATACGACGATCGGAGTGGATTAAATGTTCATCCGCGTGGAAAAACTGGTAACCTCCATGACCATTAGTGAAAAATCGCGGTGTGTCATCGAATGCAAACACACATTGCATCAATATAACACTCAAGATGATTAAATTCTGTTTTAATAAAAATTTGTTGAATTAATCGAGGATAAATCACGTCATCAATTAATTTCCTTACCATTTTTATTTTTATCTTTCCTTGAAGTGTGTTATCGACGGCGCATGGAGATGCGTGTAATGCTGGAGACGGCGAGATACTAAAACAGAATCACACGATGTCTAATTACTTATACGCCGGTCGTCTTCAAAACGAGAATAACTCTAAGTATCCTACTGTTTTTGTTATATGTCGGTATGTATATCGCATGCGCTCATCCGTTTCTTGACTCGGCGGTGTTTTAATGGTGTGTGCGTCGGAAGAACAGCGCGCGTCTGTCCGTTACCGCTCGCGAGTACGTCTTCTTATGGTTCGATTAAATGTGTGTGAATAAAGTGGATAATTTTTTTAATCTGTAACGCCGCCGTGCGAATGTGTGGTAGCGCGCGAGTTACTTAAGTGGAGAGGTAGTGCGCGCGCGCGCCCGCGTTTGCAAAAAGCGAGCGAATTAAAGTCGCTCAAACGCTGCTACTTAAGTCACTTTTAAGTTGAGTTTTAGTGCCACTTGTTTTATTTGCGAGTTTTTCAGATGGACACCAACGGAGATGTCATATTGCATTTTAGGAATAATATACAATGTGTTTTTAAGAGATAATTATTGAATACTTAAGTAATGTTTTTGTTAATTTTAATTTTTTGTTTTATTTTAATAATATTTACTTTTTAAGATGAATTAAGGCAATAAACATTGTTCAATACTTTATATTAAGTATGCAGCGCATGCGCAGAACACTATTATTTTTATTTTTAAGTTACTTAAGTGTTCAAGTAATATTTCTGTCAATTTTAATTTTTTATACCATTTTAATAATATTTTCTTCATGAAATAATAGTTTAATACTTAATTCTCTGCTTAAGTATGACGCGCATGCGCAGAACAGTATTCTTTTTATTTTTAACTTACTTAAGTGTTCAATATAAGTTCAAGTAATATTTCTGTCAATTTTAACTTTTTATCCGATTTTAATAATATTTACTTCATGAAATAATACTCCGATACTTAATTCTATGCTTAAGTATGACGCGCATGCGCAAAACACGCATTTTTTTCTTTCCCGCTCACTCTGAGTCTCTGGGAATTAAAATGAACTCACGGATCTGATTATCTGGAAATAGTTAACATGCTGGAATTTAGCAACAACAAAAAAAGCTCTGAAGCACAGCTAATGGAATCGGCTTTATTTCTGGTGCGCAAAAACACAAGAATAATAGACCGTAGTGTAGTATAGTTCTGTTACTTCATGGTCCATGGTAATACTGCAAAGAAACACGTTTTTATGCGCAGTATACTTAAGTGCGTACTTTAAATTGGATGATCCTATACATGTATCAAGTTCAATGGTCAATTTATATAAGAATGCGCGTAAAATTCGGCGGCTTTATTCATGAAATAACGGATGCAAGAGATAAAAATGCAACGGATGCATTCTGTTGCTCGTTGTAACAGTAAATATAAATTTTTATTTGTGTAATAATTGGTCAGAAAACGTGAATGCAATTTTAAATGCAAATGCGTTTCACGGAAATAATGTGGGGCAAACAATGTGAGAACAAATTGCAACTGCGTCTTGATTTTACAATCACTGCAGTTATTATTATGAATCATTCTAAAGGATACTCGTAATTAGCGAATGTTATAAATCATGTTTGTAATAAATATTTACTGCATTATTCAACTTAATAATATTTACTACTCTTGATAATGAGATTAGAAGTTGTTATTTTTGTTTTAAGAGAAGATAAAATGTGTTTTTTTACAATTAAAAGCCGAAGAAATAAAATTAAGTAATTTTTTTTTATTTTGAGTCAAGAAATTGATTAATTTTGACTGAATAATTAATTTGACACAAATTATATTCAATATTCATATTTTTAAATCAAATTTCAACGTTTTTGCTTCAAAATTAACGAAATTAACCTTAAAAAGCACAAAAGTTTGGTTATGTAGGTTATTTCTATACATTTTGGATAAATTAACCTCAAATTTATCAAAAATGTAAAAATATACATAAAAATATACAAAATAATATTTATTACAAAATTTAATGAAATTAAAACAATTAATTTTTATTTTATGAGAAGATAAAATATGTTTTTTGCTGTTAAAAGCCCAAGAAATAAAATTAAGTAATTGTTTTTTTATTTTCAGTCAAGAAATTGATTAATTTGGACTGAATAATTAATTTGACACAACTTATATTCAATTTTTATCGTTTTTAAACAAATTTAAAAGATTTTTCTTCAATATTAACGAAATTAACCTTAAAAAGCATAAATGTTTGGTTATGTTGCTTATTTCTATACATTTTAGATAAATTAACCTCAAATTTATCAAAAATATTAAAATATATACAAAAATAAACAAAATAATATTTATTACAGGTGCTAATGAAATTAAAACAATTAATTTTTATTTTGTGAGAAGATAAAATTGTTTTTACAGTTAAAACCCATCATGTTAATTCCTGATGGCGGAAACACCCAACACCCGCAAAATAAAATTAAGCAATTGTCCGTTCAAGTCTGCACACATAAAAACCTAGAACAATAACAAAGTCAAAGTGACCTAACTGGAAATCCGCAAGTAACAATAACAACCAGCACACCAACAAACACACACGATGTGAAACAATTGAATTTACATAATAAAATAAAAAATAACTAGTGTTGTGTTCCGCTGATGATGTTGATGATGTTACATACCAATAACATACAAATAAAAATTGTTCATTTTTGATTAAATAACAATCGTAATAGTTACTTATTTCTTCTTTTTGTAATCACAAACACATTGTATGTTAAATAATCTGAAGTCGAAGCAAATTCTAGTATGATAAGCACGTCGCTTCGATGTTCCATTGCCGAAGAGCAGAATTCAAAGTCAAGATGAAAAAACAGTTTGTTTCGCGAAGCAGAAACTGGAAATTTGCACACAATGGACGCGCGTAGACGTCAGACACGCCAATAAAACTCCAATTAGATCCTCTTTTTGCGCGGATGAGTATATTAACGTGTTTGGATAATTAAATAACAAAGATTTTTGCTTTTGCATATTTAGTGTTTTTTATATGAAATCATCAAATTTTTCTATTCTAGAGTCTATAATGTAGTGAAAATCTATAATTTTTATATTTAATTTGCTTAATGATGTGAACTTGTGCGTGCCACTTGCGCTTTTTCTCAACTCCTCCCAAAATTAATTTATATAGTCTTGATGGGTTTACGCGGTGACGGTGAGAGAATGAAATTTTCATCGGTTTATTTGTTTGAATGAATTAAAATCTTCTATTTTTATATTAAAACTAGCTGTTGTCCGCGACTTCGTTCCGGCAGTGTTTAATAAAAATGTAATTCGTTTTACTCTCTTGTTCTAGACATACTCGTAGTAAAAGTCAATTCTATCAATAAGATTAGCAATTTTAATTTAAAGAAATTAATTATATCTCAATGTCAAATTTTATTCTATAGAAAAGAGCTGTTTTGAGGATTTTCCCGGCAATTATTCGAATTTTTCTCACCTTTTAAACCTTCCCTTGACCTCCACGAATAATTCGAGGCCAAGATAAGATAAATCCGTTCAGCCGTTCTCGAGTTTTAGCGAGACTAACGAACAGCAATTCATTTATATATATTAAGATATATAGATGTTGAGTTATTTAAATGTTGTAAATTCTAACGTAAATATACACATTTGACTGATTTTACCTGAGTTTATCTTAAGATATGACGCCGAGAAGTCGCGTGATTTTATTATCAATAAGAAGTAACTCAAGGATGCAAACCATCCGATCAAAACAAACGAGAAATAAACACGTGGAATTTAATGCAAATAAGTGCATTCTAACGCCATCTATGATGAAATAAAACAGAATTTCATTTTATTATGTTATAGCAAAGTAATATTACATCGGAGAACAAATAAATAAACAAATATTGAAATTTTACGCGGATTGACATCTGATATAGTTTTTTAGTATAAAAATGCTTTAAAAATTAAAGTTATAAGGAAAATTTTAAGTATTTTATGTTATAAAATTGTTGAATGCATTTTTGTGTTGTGTTATTAAATAATACAATGCGGTACGCAGCGTAAATCAACATGTTTTAGTGATTTTTATCTGTTTATCATACACTACCACAAACAAACAATTCGTTGATAGTGAAACATTGTATCGAAGAATCAAAACAACGGATTTAATGCAAATATGTGCATTCTAACGCCATCTATGATGAAATAAAACAGAATTTCATTTTATCATGTTGTAGCGAGGTGATATTACACCAAAAAACAAAAAAATATAGGTATAAATATTGAGATTTTACGCGGATTGGCACCTGTTTAATCTTTTTTAAACTGGTTATAAACTCAATTACTCTTGTAAAAATGCCGATAAATATTTCCAGAAGTCTAAATATGAATTCCGCGTCGCTCAGTTGTATTCACTTGTGTTTTGTTTAAATAATTTTGTAGTAACTTAACGTGCACCCCAACAAATTAGCTGAAAAATCGTGCTTAAGTTATAGAAATTTGCATTGCAATTTTCCGGGATGTTGGGATCATAATTACAACAATATTTTAAATGTTACCATCGATGTCATGTCTTTAAAAAAATATTCTAACTCATAATTGCTTAAAATAAAAATATTTTTCGTCGTTACACCAAAAAACTGTAAAGATATAACAAGAAAATTAATAAAATTTAAAAATTTGTATAAAATACGTGAGCCACGACTATATACCCACATTTAATAGATCATCCAGTAGAATCTCATCTATTGTATTGTGTTGATCACATCAAAGTCAATGTGAAGCGCCAATAGACACTAAAGAATCTCAGATAAATAGGTTTTGTTATTCGTTCTAACACACAAACCCGCCGCACATTAATTGCGAGCGAAACAAATTCAGCGCTCAAGATGCAAATACGGAATAAAAAGGAAAAAAGAAATGAACCAGAAACAATAGTTTTATTCATATATTGTTACCATCAGTTGCTGGGAGGAAAAGAAGAGTGCTCAAGTTCATAGAACTTTGTACGCATACAACGTAGCAACTTTATTTTTGTTACCTGCCATTAATAATAACGATGGATTTATTATTATAGTTTATTGAGGCGGTATTTGAATAATTAAGCGGCGTAAAATAGAAATATAAACAATAACTCAACAAAAACTTTATTAATGAAAGTTTAGAGAAGAAATTTTGATAAATTGTTTATTGCTATGCATAAACACTAAAATTATTCGATAATTATTTTAATCATCAAAGATTTATTATTATTTTAGCTAATAAATAATATTAATCAATAATTATTATTATATTGAAATGCAAATAGAAATAAATAGCTAATATAATAACAATTATTTCGTCACTTTGAATATATGTGTCATTGTCACAAGTTTTCTCAATAAATCAAAGATAATCACAGTTGTTTCATTGTCAAACCTGTATAAAAATCAATCTTTTATCATATTACCATTGAAATTTGTTTGTTTTAAGAGACACACTATCAGAATAGCACCGAACATGTAAGCCGACATGCTAACATGTTATTAATTCCATCTTCTTATGTAATATTCATGTACCTATACATATTGACCTTAAAAACTCATGTATCGATGTTTACCCAAGAATATGTTGGTATGAATTTATAAATTACGACTTTATACAGGATTTGGCACAATATAAACTCAATTCGCATTTATTTTAAAGCAAAAATCAACGTTTTAGCTTCAAAATTGCCAAAATTAACCTCAAAAAGCATAAAAGTTTGGTTATGTAGGTTACCTATATAATTATCTAGTAAATTAACCTCAAATATGTAAAAATATTAAAATATTTCTTTTACACTCGGTGTATCTAAATCTTTGGGAGTGTTTGATGTTCCTAAAGATCAGAATTTTTTTTGGGCGCGTTTACATAAAGTCCAAGGCACTTTACGCTACCACTTCTCCTAGAAAAGTGGTCTTCGTCGTCTGGTTGCATAAAGATGCGACGCGAATATTTTCTGGACAAGTATTACAATCCTAATCGTGCCTGTGGCTCATTCGCAGTTAATATTAATAATTATTTATTGTTGTGCATCATCCGTGTCCGGTTGGTATTTAAACGGGCGTTCTAAGTCATTCCAGTGCTTGTGTCGTGTCGAGAGTGCTCCGAAAATGTTTGATAAATGTATAATCTACGTAAGTAAATATAATCGGCGCTTATTATACCGAATAAAATGAGTTTCTTCATCAGCCGGCTTAAGTGGCTCACCAAAGCGTGAACAAAACACTTGGAGTGCATATTTTTATGGTCTAATACTTAATATTTAATAGAACTAATTAGAAGTGGATTATATAATGCTAAACATTTTAATTACAAATGTTTTAGGCGCTGGTTTTGTGCGCTGCGGTGAATGCAATTGGAATTCCGGCCGAGCAAGACTTCGGGCCGATTCTACGTCCGGAGAATCCGACTGGCGCACGGAATATTCTCGGTTATGATAATTTCCAAACGTCGAACAAAGCGAAGGAGCAGATTAAGTACGGAAATCACTGGGAACAATTCGATACGGAACCAGTGCAGGATTTGAGGTTCAATGGCGGTGCAAATGGCGGACATGGACATAACCCCTACAATACACATTTATTCAATGCGCAGAGACCTGCAGCGATAAATTATCATCATAATCCTGTTCAATATAATTCATAGACATAGATTTTTGTGATTTTTGTGTGTTTTATTATAAAAATATTGATTGTTTTGTATTAAACATCTTGTGAGTAATTTTTTTAGTGTTTTTTTGTTTCCAAGTCGTGTACTTAAGCTGCGGCACTTAAGAAACTAAAAATACCTTTAAGGTCACCCATTACTGCGTGCAGAATTTTCTTTTTGCTATAATTATTTAATAGTGGCTGTAAAACAAATTGCTAACTGAATTATATGCTTGGAAACTTGTTTGTGGGGTTTTAAAAGTCTTTTTGCAGGTTGTTATTGATTTTTATGAGTTTCTGCGTGGAACATTATCGTTTTTCTTTTGTTTTTCGTTGAGAATCAGCCGTGATAACCGCGGTGATGTCCATAGCCGTAGCCATGACCATGTCCATATTGTCCATGCCCATGTCCATGTCCATGTCCATGTCCGTGACCATGTCCGTGACCATATCCATGACCAGGCGAATAGTGCCCATGTCCGTACCTGTATCCATAACCACGTGCAGGATCTGCATAGGGCTCAGGAGCAGCAAAAGATAACGTTGCCATTGTTGCCACAATCAGCATAACAACAAACATAGCCTAAACAAAGTATTAAAAATAATTAAAATGTGTATTGAATATTAATTTATATTAAGATGGAATCAAATTTATCGTTAAAATGTTAACTTACCATAAATTTACCCATTTTGTTGTCTGATTTTAAATTGTATGATTACTTTAAAGATTTCACTGATAAAATGTGATTGAATTGCAAAAAAACTTGCTATTTATATATGTAATCTTTCAATGATGTTGATTTGAATTTTATAATTGCGAGATAAATTTGTGATATCTTTTTATGGATATAATTAATCAATTACGTCTTTTAAGGTTCTAAATTTGATCTATTCTTGCTTCTAATTGTGTTTCTGAATAAATTAAACAAAAAGAAGCAAAGTGCATGCTGAAAATGATTAAAATTGAACTCCTGGAATCATTTTATTACTATTTATGCATTAAATTATTTTACAAATATGGGATTGAACTGTAAAATGCATCTTTGTGTTTTTATTACACAAAACGCTGCATATAAAAACGTGCTTGATAAATATCAGACACTAGAGCTCACACAGACACGAGCATTACCTTTTAAAGTAATGCACACTCACTACCACAAAGAAACAACTCGTAGATCTAAATAAACTTGTGCATAAACACAACAATGCGAATTTATTGCAAATAAGTGCATCGCAGCGTCATCTCTGGTTGTACCAAAGATTTATATTGAGATAAGATGCATGCATCGCGTGATCTCATAAAAACACAATATTTTTATTTATCTCTATGTAGCCACAACGGATATAAACAAACAAATCGCGCGGAGAAACCAACAAAAAATTTAACGCAAATAAGTGCATTGTAGCGACATCTCGCGGTTTATACAAGAATTAAACTTACTTAAATATTTTGAATTATGGACTTTAAACTCCAAACAACTATGAATTAATATAATAAAAAAATTCTTAGATCATGTAAACGTTTTCTTTAGTAAACTACAAGTATATTTTATTAAATTAGGCTTTAAACATTAAAAGCAAGGGAAGGTTATGTATATTTTGGCCAACTCAACGTGACAGACGTTTCACACGTCTTCCAAAATAAAGCAGAACTTTCGAATCTGTGCAGTATGTTTACCAAAACTGCATCAAGTAATTAGTAATTAATATTAAGTTAATATTAATATGAGGACCATCATTGTATTCCTGGCTCTCTTCGCGACTTGCCACTGCTGGGAAAATGAACAACTCGAAGTGTTTGATGTGGTTGAGGAAGTCAAGGAGAATTTCTACCAAATGCTCAATTTGAGCAATGTAAGTCTACATTTTAATAATAAAAAATCCAAGTATTAATATATTAATTGTTACAAACACCTAGAACGCAACAGGGAAAGAAATTAAATCAGCCTTTAGAAGGTTGTCACTAGTCCTGCATCCTGACAAGAATCCACATGAAGATGCAGCAATGCAGTTCAGGAACTTGGTTTCAGTCTATGAAGTATTAAAAGATGAGAAGAAACGCGGTTATTACGACGATGTCTTGATAAATGGTTTGCCCAACTGGAAGTCTGCAATGTTCTACTACAGAAGAGTGAGGAAAATTGGTATTTTGGAAGGTGCTTTGATTATATTCTTGATTATCACTGTTGGGCAGTATATTGTTGCATGGGCAGTGTATGCAGAAAAGATTTACACACTTGACCAAGTTGCTAAACCCAAGAAGGTAAAAAGAATGCAAAAACACAAAGTGTAGAAGCACCTGTTGTAATTGAAACTGTTCCAAAGCCTTCAGTATTCAATACTTTGCCTTTCCAAATACCATATTGGAGTTTCATGTTTGTAATCTCAATCCCTAGTTTTGTACTATTCACCAAAGAATTGGTGAATGAAAAAATTGAAGAACGACGCGAGGCAGCCGCACAAGCACTCAAAGATGAACAAGAAGAAGAAGAAGCTGCCGCGCGGAAAGCCGCACAACCGAAAAAGAAGAAAAAGTGTTTGAAATACCAGAAGGTCCTACTTTTGAAGCAAATTATGGTAATAGTAACAATTCAGATAGTAATTCACCTGCGCCACCACCTGTAAGTGGTGGTTTTTGGTCAGATGATGATTTAGATGAATTAGTACAACTTGTAAAGAAATATCCAGGTGGTACTCCAAAGCGTTGGGAAGTAATCGCACAATGTATGAATCGATCTGTCGCGGAAGTCACGTTTATGGCTAATAGAATGAAAGCCAATGGATATACCAGACAACAGGAAGAAGAACCTGTTGTAGAAGTCAAAGTAAAAACAAAAACAAAAGGTGTTGAAGAAACTCCATGGTCAAACGCGCAACAACAAGCTTTGGAGGATGCTCTGAGGAAATTTGGTAAGGAAGCCACTGATCGATGGGAGAGGATAGCTGAATTAGTTCCTGACAAAAGTAAAGAGGAGTGTATGATAAGGTATAAGAGACTGGTGGCTGAAGTTAAGAAAAAGAAGGAGAAGAAGGAAGAATAAATGTTTTATCATGTACATTATTAAATTCAAAACTTCCCACTCCTTTTAAATTATATCCTGCATACTTGTAGGTTACATTTGTCAAGTATGTTTATCAACGTTTGCGTTGGTATGTAATTCAGTTGTTATCTTAGGTGCAATGTGTAAAACGCGTAAACATGTGATTGCAACTGTCTCTACCTGTTACTACCTACACATTAGTGTGAAATGAGACAACGCCGATCACAATTACTACCCATGACAGGCTCGAATGCAGAGGAAGCCGGTGGAAGAGAAACTGTTGATTCTTCATCAATCAGTTTGTCTTCCAAAGGCAAAGACTCCATTCACGAAATACCCACGTATTTTGCATTTGCCATCCTTGCGTTATTGGGTATGTTATATGGAGGTGTTTTTTTACTGGATAAATCACTTCCAAGTGCTTACAAGATATCAGATGAAGTAAGTTAAACATAAATTCAATCATCTTTTATTAATTGCATTAATGCGATTGCAGAATGAGTATCCAGATGCATTTATAGCTGAAAGAGCGCAAAACATTCTTAAAGGATTAACTGACATTGGACCCAAAGTAGTTGGCAGCAAACAAAATGAGATTGAAGCAGTTAATTATCTAAGTACAACTATAGATAATATTATAAATGATGCCGATGATAGTTACACTATCACAAAAGATATACAAGTGACAAGTGGTGCTTATTATCTTGGTTTTGTACCTAATGGTTTGATTAATTCCTATGCAAATGTACAGAATATTGTGGTAAAGGTTGATGGAAAGAATACTGAAGAGAGTATTTTAATTAATGCTCACTTTGATTCAGTTCCTACAAGTCCAGGTATTAATTTGTAATTTCAAAAGTTATCATCATAATTTAAATTTTGTATCAAATATTAAAGGTGCTTGTGATGATGGCATTATGGTTTCTGTAATGTTGGAAACTTTACGAAAATTAACACAAACTAAACGTGAATATGAACGGAATATCATTTTTCTATTCAATGGCGCTGAAGAATCACCACTGCAGGCTGCACACGGGTTCATTACGCAGCATAAATGGGCGAAAACTTGTAAAATTATCATTAATTTAGAAGCTTCCGGACATGGCGGACGCGCCATTATGTTTCAATCTGGCCCCAAGGGTTCTTCATATTTATTGTCTCATTATTTATCTGTACCGTATCCATATGCGCAGGCTGCAGGCGAGGAGATATTTCAGAGTAATGTAATACCATCTGACACGGATTTTCGATTATTTAGAGATTTCGGTGGATTATCAGGTTGGTAACTGTAAAGTACTTCAAATATATTTCGTAAATTATTAAATTCCTAGGATATGACATGGCGTTTGCACAAAATGGCTACCGGTATCATACAAAGTATGATAACTTTAAAGATCTACCTCTGGGATCGTTTCAACATGCTGGTAGTAATTTATTGGCTTTAGTAAAGAGTCTAGCGGAAGATTCAGACACTATTGCTACGGATGATGATAAAATGGTGTATTTTGATGTTTTTAACTGGTTTTTGATCAGTTATTCGATGCTTGCTGCATATATTGTGAATTTATTTGTGTGTTTAGCATCACTTGTGGTCGCTATTTTGTCTGCAAGAAATTTACAGCTTGGTAATTTAAAAATAACAAAGTATAAACTATAAAAATTGACAGAATTCTTTCAGGGGTAAACAAATCAAGTTTTTTATACTTATTTCTGACAACGTTGGCAATTTTGGGTAGTTGGGTAATTGCAGGAGGACTTGCACTACTTATTGCTCTTTTAATTGATGCTACTAAAAATACAATGACTTGGTATGGATCACCAATCATTGTCTTTGGTTTGTATGTTGCACCAATTATTGGTGCGTTTACTGGTGTCATGTGGATTTTTAATCATTTTGGGCCACATGTAAGTGATTTATTAAAATTTATTTAAGTTAATGTTAAATTATTACTATTTTATAGAAAGGTAAAAGTTTGGGTACTCAAAGTCAGATACAAATGCACATGAATAGATTAATCTGGACTTTTGTGCTTTTTATTGCGACTTTGTTGAAAATTCGAAGTGTTTACGTAATTATGCTGCCTGTTTTGTTCAATACTCTTGCAAGTGTTATTATTTTACTTCTAAAATGGCAACATACAGGTAATTCTATAATTTTTACGAGTTTCTGAATGTTTTTATTGATTTTGGTGGATTTTTAGCTAGAAAATGGCAAATAACTGCTTTTATCTTTACCATTCTGCCTGCAATCATGTCGATGTACGTTGCTGTTGAGATTTATTCACTCTTCATTCCAATAACTGGGCGAATCGGAGCAAATCGTAATCCTGAAATGATTGTTGGTTTACTGACTGTGTTAGTTTTACTTTTAATTGTTTCTCATTATGTAAGTATAACAATTTTTATGCGTGAGCTTGTTTTATTGACTTAACATTTGCAGTTAACATTTAGTGTGCTAGTCAAGAGGCAATATATGTTGCCGATTATTATGTTTGCTGGGTTTTTAATAACTTTTATTGTTGCGGTGTCAAATGGCGCTTTTCCATATAGTGGTGATCGGGAATCACCCACTCCGCAGAGATTTACGATTTATGTGAGTATTATACAAGTAAATATTTATTATTAATGCTTATTAAATCCAATCAACTTTATACAGCACACCAATCGCATTCATCACGATGCTTCTGGTGGAATTGAAGAACAATCAGGTATTTTTATGTTGAACAACGATCGCAATTCGCCCGACAGCGTAAAATATGAACTGGATCTAAATGATAATTATAATATTTCTCAAGATTGTGAGAAATATCCAGCATGTGGCATGCCTATTTCTTCTGCACGTATGATACAAACTGTTGAAGTAAGCACATGGAAACCTTTCACGAAAGCAGTCATCAATGAAAGAATTTCAATGACCTACACAACAAAAACTCTTAGTACAAATGTAAAACAGTATAGTTTTACAGTTGAAGGCCCTGATCATTTGAATGTCTTCATTCGGCCTATAACAGGCACAACAATCTTAAAAACCAGCTTGCATGACATTGCAACCGATGAATTAATATTCATCAATCATGTTTATGGTAAAATTAAAACGAATTTAGAGTTTACCATGGACATACAAGCAGATAATATCAACAAACCCTTGATGGACTTTGTTGTTTCTGGTAAATATTACCATCTAAAAGGGCAGGAAACAATTACAAAAGAGTTTGATGAGTTTATTAAGAAATTTCCTGACTGGGCAGATGTAACTCCATCATTGGCAAACTACGAATCGTATGTGATATAGGCAACATACATTGCAAGATGGTTATGACCAAGTTTAAAACATAAAGGTTATGTCAGAAAATTGGTTGTGTGCAGGCGGTGAGACGTAACGGTAAGATTTTGATTTATTAAAGTATTATTTTATAAATATAACAATTCTAAACATTCAATTTACTTAAAGTAGTCATAATATGAACGGCAGGTAAAGTTTCCGTTATGATTCCGGTAGCAACAGTTACATTATTTTCCCTGATTGTAAACGCTTGGCCGTTGATCATCACCATTGAGTTTAGTAAGGTTAGGGTAACAGCGCCATGTTCTCCCGGCATAATCATATTCACATTCTCATCTGAAAAGCGCAATTTAAATCGAAATATCGTCAAAAACTTTATAAAAAACGTACCCAAGTCAACTCGACAAGCAATATTCCATGTTTTACTGAATAATTGCTGTATATATTTACTTATAATTGGTTTACTGCGTCCGCCTTCACTGCGTGTGAGGAAATACACGCTCGCTTTGAATCGATTGCTGACTTTTTCGCTGTTTAAAGCGCAGAGTAACATTCCTCGCTCAACTGTCTTCAATTTAACTCCTCTGAGTAGAACACCAACATTTTCTCCGGCCTTTGCCTCTGGCTGACTCTTCTTAAACACTTGAATATCATTTACAACGGTTTTAATCTGGGCGTCGAAACCTAACAGTTCAGCATCTTCGCCTTTTTTAAGCGTTCCTCTTGCTATGGTCCCAATTACAACAGTTCCACGACCGGGAACTAGGAAAGCATTGTCTATTGGTAACATAAATGGGGATGTTAAGTCTCTTTGCGGATCTGGTATGTAATTATCAATGGAGTCTAGTAATTCACGAATTGATTTCACACCAAATTCGGTGTCTTTTCCTTCGAGAGCTTGCAGAGCTGATCCGCGAATCATTGGTGAGCCATCACCATCAAAACCAAAGTCTGTGAGTAATTCACGGACTTCTAATTCAACCAAATCCAAAACCTTAAATAAAATTACGGATTATTTGTGATTTTTAAAAATATTTTGAAATTTTTACTTCATTATCAACTATTTCTGCCTTATTGATGTAGACAACTATTTTTGTGATGCCAACTTGTTTGGCTAGCAGTAAATGTTCTCTTGTTTGTGGCATTTGACCATCTGTAGCTGCAACTACAAGAATAGCTCCATCCATTTGTGAAGCTCCAGAAATCATATTTTTTACATAATCTGCATGTCCTGGGCAGTCTGTGTGGGCATAGTGTCGTTTTTTAGTGCTGTAGCCAATATGGGCAGCATTAATTGTAATCCCTAAATGAAAACAATTCAATTATAAGATTATTTAACATCTTATATAAATTTTATCTTCTATTACCTCTGGCTTTCTCCTCTGGGGCTTTGTCAATCTCATCATATGAGATGAAATCTGCAAGTCCATCTTCCTTAAGGACTTTTGTAATGGCAGCTGTTAAAGTTGTCTTGCCATGGTCTACATGACCAATTGTTCCAACATTTACATGTTTCTTGTCGGTTTTTGTTGAAAAATATCGGTTTATTGTATATTTTTGTTGATGCACTTCAAAGAGGTTATGCCTCCTATAAAGTTGGAGATATTGTTTGTGGGTAAACTGTGGTGTTATTAGTTTATTAAAAAGTGCGAATCCTGTTTTTATTGTCTTCAGGTAATACATTTTGATGAGTTTAATGTGATAATATTTGAGTTTGAATCATGTGGGTTCTTGTTTACCTTTTTCGTTGATAAAGCAATCAGGAGATGGCGCCGGATGTATCAAAATCTTATTTTTCTTGTCTAATGTTTACAAACGCGTTCAATGCCAACCACTTTGATAAACTGTGTTGATATGTTTGGTTTTATCAAGTCGATACTTGTTAGATTGTAACATTTGTGCACATTTTTGCTGGTTTTAACTTTATTCTGCTTTACAATGATTTGCGATGTAAATATTTATTTTGATAGGAACCAATTTTTATTCTAAAATTAATATAAATACATTTTTTATAATTTATTTAGTTTTATTTGAGTTTTGAATAGTTTAGAATGTAATTAATAACATTTCTTGCAATTTATTATAAAATTGCCAACAGATGGCGCGGTGTGTACCAAAATCTTATTTTCTTCTGTAATGTTTACACACGCGTTCAATGCCAACCACTTTGATAAACAGTGTTGATATATTTCGTTGTTATCACGTCGATACCTGCGAGATTGTACTATTTGTACACATTTCTGCTAGTTTTAACTTTATTCTGCTTTGCAATGAACTATGATTTAAATAATTATTTTGAGAGAAACAAATTTTTATTCTAAAATTATTCTAAATTAATTTTAAATAATTTAGTTAGTTTTATTTGAGTTTTTAATAGTTTAGGATCTAATAAATTACATTTCTTGTAGTTTATTATAAAAGTGCCAACAGATGGCGCAGTATGTCTTAAAATTTGATTTCTTCCGTTCAATATTTACAAACAAGTTGTGTGCGAACCGAATTGATAAACAGTGTTGATATGTTTAGTTTTTATCAAGTCGATACGTGTTAGACTGTAACATTTGTGCACATTTCTGCTGATTTTTAGTAAGTGAATTATAATTTTCAATTATAAATTTCGTAAATTTATGTTTCATTATTTAATTAGTTTAGTTTGGGTTTCTAATAATTTAGTACTTATTAAATAATATCAATAACAATTTATATTAAAATAAGTTTATTTCTCGTTGCGTCCTATTTGTAAATTATAAATACGTGCAATACAAAACATTCGATAACTAATGTAGTTTACATTTTGGATTGTTTCAAGTCAATGTTTAAAAAATATTCGAAAATTTATACAAATTTCTTCTGATTTCGATAATTTTGGATCCAATATCCCATCTTGAGGAATGCGCCTAATATAACAAAAGTACTCAAGACTAAAACACCGCGCAGAGTCCAATTTACATCATAAAAGATTCCGTACATCCACAAACCAGAGGAATAATACGTCATTAAATATCTGCAACAACACATTCATTATTATCAGTACTTATTACTTACAAAAATGTTGTTTTTGAAACATTTGACTGTTTTACGTGCGACTCTGACTAATTACTTACTGGAATGTATAAATGGCCATGAAAAAGTTTGAAATAATCATGGCGGTCTTGAATTTCGGTCGTGGCATCTCCCCAACATAAATTAAAAGTTCTCCCAGAAGCACAGGGATGATATTCGTGTGTATAGCAGAGTTGAGCCAAACAGGACAAGCATCTTCAAGCTGCTGTGGCAAAACCCAATCTCTTTTGATGGAAAACATTCCCCAGAAGGCAATAAACACAAGTAGAGTTGCCGGGAACATGATTACATTGTAGAGGTATCCATTGAATTTGGTTAATTTAGTTTTATATTCTTCAATTGCTTTTGTTTCTTTCATGAAACGCGTTAAGTCGAGTAAAAGGGCGATGAGAAAGTAAATAGTTTGAATTCCCTTGATAAAAATTAACAAAAATAAGTAAATTTTATGTTTTTTGTATTTTTAAACATGGTTACTTACAATATTCCAACTAGTGAAAAATCTTGGTCCAACACTCAACATATCTCTTGTTCTTCCATCGGGAAACTTCATGTAACTCGTCGACAATTCATTCATGTGATAAATAGTAACCACATGATGCACCAGCACAACCGAGTGAAAAATCAAACAAGTTTTACTCATTTTCTTGAATTAAAATTAAACTTTCGCGCACAAAGTAAACTTCTATTGCGTTAACGGCGTAAACTCGCTTGAAACTCACAAGCCCTGTGTTTATAAATCCGATTGAGCCCGCTGCGCATGCCTACCACTTTCAATACGCTCGCCCAACAAACAAGCGTCTTTTTTTAAGAGTAAAAAAACCTTATCACGGTGGCTGTGGCTGTGAACCGGACATGGATTTTTCTCGCTTGCAGCGAGTGTAGCGTCGAAATATATATTAAAATGTGAGATAATATAATTAATGTAACGGCTATATCGGCATCCCAGACAGATGCCGATTACGAATTACGCGTTTAGATAACAAACGGTTGACATGACTCGTAAACACAGCGCGAACGCACTAGACAGTGAATCCAGAGATAAATCAAAACATTCAAAACAATTTTATTTGTTATCATCAAACACGTGCTATATTCTTGCTGTAATTTCCGCATTATTATGAAATAATTAATGATTTTTAGTGGAATGACGTGAAAAGAGACTTAAATTACATAAGTTTATTTCGTCCTCATTTTTTGCGTTATTATTCTTTATCATTAGTCACTCGCGCACAGAATCCGGTTCATTTTATTATCATGCGCCATTCTTATCGTATTTTATCATTTGTGCTAATAAATGTTACGTCTTTAGCGATAATTTTTGTATGTCGAGTCATTTACATGATTATTTCTGCGAATTAGGACATTTAACTACGAAATCATCAAGAGTAAAACATATTTTTATTGAAAATCAGATCAAAGTAAAAAAGTAATGAGATAAATTAAGAATTAAGAGGTTCTTCTGTAAAATATGGATGAACTAACGCCTTGGACGCGCTGATTCTTTTCGCAGGGTCAAACTTAAGCATACTCTGCAAAAAAATCATTAATTTTACATCAAACACAAGTTTTTTGTTTTTACTCACCATAATCAAATCATGTGCATTCTCACACAAATTCGTGATTTGTTTGTTGATAGTAACATGATTCTTCACCTCAAATGAATTATATTGTACTGGATTCTCAGCAGGCCATTCACTCTCCTCTGGTTTACCCAAAATTCTAAATAAAAACAAATTAAAACATAAAATAATAATATTACACAGGATGTAGTTGAATTCATACTTGAATATTTTATTCAACTGATCAATTTCGGATTCGCCCACAAACAGTGGTGTCAATGAATATAGCTCAGCAATAATGCATCCAACTGACCAGACATCAACTGGACTTGCATAGGATACTTCCAAGAGCACTTCTGGTGCTCTATACCATAATGTAACCACAACTCTAGTCAGTTTCATGTCAAAATCATAACTTTTAGCTAAACCAAAATCAGCCAGCTTTAAATGTCCATTTTTGAGACTAAAATATTCTGTGGTTTTAAATCCCTATGGATAATTCTGTGTGAATGCAGGAAATCTACACCTTTGAGGATTTCTTCAGCCATTTGTCTGATTCTGACTGATCCCAGAGTATGTTTATTGGGTATTTTATTGAGATATGAAGCCAGATCTTCTTCAAGGTGTTCAAAAACCAGAAACATGATTAGCTCATTCACTAGCTTTTGACCATGACAAACATCCAGTAATCTTACTATGTTGGGATGTTCATGGGAGTCTAGTTGTTTCAGTAGTGCTATTTCTCGAAGTGTATTCATTGGGACACCATCTTCAGTCAGTGGGACCTTTACTTTCTTGAGGGCAACATAGGTATTGGTGTTTTTATCATAAGCCTTGAATACCATTCCATAGGCACCTATTTCAATGAAAAATAATTGTTTATGAATAAAATTAAATTAGATAATAGCTTTTTTGTTATACCTGTGCCAATAATGCCAATCTCTTCATAGGAATTCGGTTTTCTGTTATCCATTTTGATTTTGTGTTATATTTTGTGTGATTAGTGTTTGTATGAAGCAACAAGTGGTTATTGTAGGTTAGTCTATTGGAAGTCGGTTAAAACCGTTGGAACCAATGCAACTGGTAGCATGTCATAAGTACCTATTTTATTTTATTTTAGTTTGTGCATACAAGTGCATACAATCTTCATTAACGTACGTTTGCTAGGTGTGTACATTCATGCGATAAACCAGTTTTGAGCTGATGCGAATTGTATACAAGGTTTGTTTCATAGTTCGAAAAATTCTACTAGATGGCGATACCGTTCACTATATGAAACAAAATTATATAAAATAAAATAAGTAAACAAAACAAAACGTGTTTTGAGATATCAAATATAAAATTTTAGTGTTTACTTTTATTATTTTATGTTGAACTACATTAAAATAACTAATATCATGTTAATTTTCTATGAGAACTTAATTACTTCTCAGATTTTAATTTTATTTGCACAATTTGTTTAAAAAATGCGTAAACCGTAATAATAACACCGGAAGTTTGCGAATTAAATTTTTACCAATGCGCCTTTAAGTAATTAATTGCTTTTCGGCAAGTCTTTGTCCCGCAAGTGGATTAATTCAGCCGTCAACGCAGAAATACGCAAAAAACGCGCTACGCTACACATAAAGGTGACTAACCTAAGGCGACGCGAACGTCGGCAGAATCGAATTCGGACCGCAAATTCAGATAATTAAATTAATCACAAAGTTGACGTCGCACGTACGAAATATAAACTTGTTTCTCTTGAAGACGATTTGATATTTGACAATCAACGAAACAATTTACGTGATGTAACATTTCATGTGCTTTAATTAGGGTTTAATTTGAGTGTAATGGACGATTTTTGCTCAATTGTTTGTCGTTAAAGTTATGCAATGTAAAAAATTATCTAAAGAACCTTCCCGCGCTTCCTTTCATTAATCTACTGCAAGTTTTTCATTAGTGCAAAGTCAACATTTTGAGGATTTCCTAATGCATGTGTTTTTATTAAGGTTTTCGTTCTAAAAATATTAATCATCTTGATTGAAAAACCTTGTGTATCACATTTACATTTTCGATTGCCGCAATCTGCGAACGCTAATGTGCGCGTAATGAAATTCGTTTTCGCAAAGTTCTGGACAACTGGTTTCGTTCCGACGCGCGATTACCATTAAAGAACGCCTCTAATAGGCAATAGTAAATAGTAATAACACGAGGAAGTTTTTATTCGCGTGATATAAAATACTCATGCTACCTGATTTTACCCACAGATATCAGCATGCGACTAGCCGCACAGAACGCGCTTGCTGTGTGTCTTCTCTCGTGTCTTGTTGTGTGTTTGTCTCTTTGCGTAGAGTTGGGACTTCCTGCAGCCACTTGGGCGGTTGGTTCTCAGAGAGACAAAAGTTTGACGCTCGAAAAACGCCGGGTCAGTGGTAGATCAGTGGAGGATCGCATAACAAGTGCGCTATTTAAGATTTAAACAATATCTAACAACAAATTTAATTTATTCTATAATGTGGTAAATATTCAAAACGTTACAAGAAAACAAAGGAATCGTATAAATTATTTATTTATTTACTTGTACGATAATTAATTGGGAGTAAAAATGCGGCATAAATATAAAAGTTTATTGAGTGCTATATTATTAACATTTATCACGATTAATGAAGCTGTGAAAATTGACAGTCAAGTGACTGTTATAAAAAATGGTAAGTGAATATTTAATTTTTAATTTTTACACGTTTTTCACTTTGAAAAACTTGTTTTTTTAATTGTCATTTCACGATTTTGATGTTGAAATTTTTAATTTTTACGTCTTTATTTAGTTTAGACAAGAAAATAGCAAATATTGCAAAATATAGCAACCTGTAATTGTATTATAGTGCTGGGCGTAATTGAAAATAATTAAAAGTACACGAATCGCACAAGAATTACAAGAATTAAATTGTTTATACGCGTCGGGCGGAAGTTGCATTGCACAATTTTTCAGTACATTAGGATTGCATCAATTTCAAACACTTTGAAACATGTTAAAAGTTTTTAAATGAAATATTTGTGGTTCAAAAACTAAACTAACTGTAAATTTGCGAAGATTTGCAAATGAATGCTGATCTGCTCTACTAAAACAATTCCTCGGGGCATAAAGCAATAATTCGGTCAATATTTGAACTTTGAAACCTTGTTTTTTATTGATGATTATTTTATTTTTAGATTGCTTTGAACGACAGGCAATCGGCTACAGATTGAAACAATCTGATATCTACAAAACTTTAGATGTTAAAACCGTACCTGAGTGTCAACGAGAATGTACAAAAGAAGAAGATATGTGTAAAACGTTTAGTTTTGGGTTAGTTTTTAAAACTTCTCAAAAACCAATTAAAATTATTATTAAAAAATTTTCAGTATTGGAGTCAAAGGTAACGCTAGTTGTGAGCTCAGTAAAAAAGTTATCCGGGAGACCGCAGATCTCAAACCAATTGGTACTCTGCTAGATGAAGACTTTGATCTGTATATTAAAAAATTAGGTTGTAAACTCGTCATCGAGCAGAAACCTTCGACGGAAACTCCACAATCTGATGAGATACCTAGTGTTTCCCTTGGGTCTGAACCATATGGACCTGATAATTTCAAACCTAACAAACCTATCAGTGGGTCAAGTAGTTCCAATAATAATGGCGGCTATGGTCATAATAATAATAATAATAACAAGCCCCCACAAAGAAAACCTCATGGTACCCTTCAAACTACATTAATCAGCGTTAGACCAGACCCCAACAGACCGGGTTATACTGGATTGTCTTCTGCTTTGACTGCTAATTCTCTAGGTTCAGGTGGCTATGATAGACCAGATAGACCTGTGAATGAACCATTAAATGAGCGTCCATTTTATGGTGAAAGTCCACGACCTAGACCTAAACCAGTTGGTTTTGATTCCTATGGAGGTGTATCAAACTCATTTGTGAATGAGATCCCCGACAGGCCTGTTTATGGAGGTTCTGAACGACCAGGTGGGTTATACCAAGGTCAGTCTGGATATGGGTCGTCTTATAGTGGATCCTACGGTGGGGGTTATGATTCTTCTAATTATGATGGACCTTCAAGGCCTTACAAACCTTACAAACCCCTAGAGATCCAATTGATAATGAGGTGTTTTATAATAGACCGGAAGTCAATAGACCTGGTTTTAGACCAGGTGTTGGATATTATAGACCCATTGATCCTATGATGGATGAATTCAAACCACATTTTGATAATCTACGCCCTGAATCCTGGGGTGGGTATGAAAGACCTGATCCTATGAGGGATCCAATAACTTCTTATGAATATGGAATGACCATGGGAAGACCTCCTTTTGATGAACCCTCCCGACCATCCTATGAAACACGTCCTGAATTTGATAGACCAAGCCGTCCTGAAAGACCTCAAAGGCCTTCTGGATATTACCGACCATCTTATGATGACAGGGATCGTCCAAGCCGACCTGAGATGGAATTTAGTAGACCTGGGAGACCACAATATGAATACGGTAATGGACGACCTGATGTACCTCCTAATTTCCGACCAGAAAACAGACCCATGGTTCCCACTTATGAAGAAAGACCTTTCAATAGACCTGAACGACCTGTAAGACCTGATGGTGGGTATGGTCAAAGACCATCAGACTTTAGACCACCACCAGATTATATTGAAGATAGACCAGGTCCAGGGAGCTATGACAGACCACAAAGACCTTCCTTTGAAGAAAGACCTGTTTACGAACGACCTAGTAGACCTAGACCTACCAGTTATGAAGAACCTAATCAATATAGACCCAACTGGGATAAGGACACCATCAATCGTCCCTACGACTCAAATAACCCCAACGTAAACTACGAAAACGTAGTAAAACCCGTTACTGAAGAATCTGATTATGGTGGAAACCGTCGACAAGACAATCTAGGTCCTCCACACAGAAATAACACTGGACCAATAGTCTCGCAATCCCTTGGTCCAAACGGGGAGAAAATTACATCTATAATCACCGAGCTAAAACCAGGTTAGTAAACGAAAAACATTATTGATTAAGTTGAAGATTTAGATTTTCTCGCCGGTTTGAAATTTAAGTATCCGTTTGGGCATTGTTTAACTTGTCGAAAATTTGCATATTCTCTCTTTGTGCCGCCGAGTCAAGGTTGGCGCATAAGTAAATCGAGCAGGCTTTGATGCATGTAGAAAAAGAGACCTCAACACACCGCGCGTAGAGTGAAGATTGATGATCATTAAGACATTAGAGTCGAATGCAAAACGTAGCAAAAACGCAGCAAAAACACTGAATCGCCAACGAGCTGTAACTCGAATACAGAATTTACGCAATGCGATTACACTGCAACTGAAACTTTATTTAACAAAAGAAATAAATACTTAAATATAACCTAAAAGTATTTAACTGTCAAATTTATTTGAAGCTAGGTTAGGTTATGTTTTAATTAGCATTTTGTTGCTATGCGATTGTTGCGATTCTGACTTAATGATAGAGCAGAATCTCTTCCTGGAATGAATCAAATCTGAAAACATTCATTCATCTTTAATTCTACGCGATCCACGCCGCTAGCAAAGAGCGAGCGAAACGACCGTAACGGCCATGAATCATTTTGTTTCGCAATGAAAATCACTTTGTCTCACACTCTCACAGCTCAACTCGCCTCAATGTCTGCGATCTGCGATCGCAAAGTCTCAATTGCAGCACAAACAACAGAAATACCCAAAGATGAGTTGAGGATTGCTTAAAATTGAATGTTGAACCAGATTTAAATGCGAACGTAATCTAATTAATGAGAAGCAACACAAACCATTATTAAACATATTATTAAACATGTTATTAGCGTGCGGATTGTTTTGAAAACGCTATCCATCATTCGCCTAACAAGGTGTGGTTAATTATTCATGAAATAATCACAAATTTTCAACGCTTTATTCTTATTTTTATTCATTACGCAATATTCTTGCATCGTTTACTTGTAATTTACTAATTAAGCGCGTCATGACAAAACTGATACTTCAATGCTGAATCAGTACTTAGATTTAATTGGAATTAATTGAATTTGGCTCATTAGACTAATGTTACCTTCTTGAAAACACAAAAAAACGTTTTGTAAGAGAACTTGAAGTGCGTTCTTGAATTGCGTCAAGTTTAACTTGTGATCAATTGAACAATGTGATGTAAACGCACGGTTGGTGGTAATTTCGTCTTTTGTTTCAATTGCGCTTCGTTAATTAATGAATTAACGCGTATTTTTAAGGTTTTGTAGGCTAATTTTTCATTTTGTTATTGCGACACTTGAAAAAAATTGTAATTGAGCTCAAGACAACATCGCGAGTGAAATTTTTAGTTTACATTCAATTTTTAAGCACAAATTTTAATTCGGATATGATTTTGATGTTTTATTCAGTTCATAAAACTCAAAAATCTATGATAATTCAAGGTTTACGTTTGTAGTTCTTCCTGAGAGTGACTGAAGTCATCAGATGCCACGCTAAACGTTTGTAAATCACAGCGCATTTTCCAGAATCACGCAGACTTTACGCGCATGAGAAAATTGCCCTCAATTATTTGTTTATTATCATTTTTGTTGGAGGTTCTTCTTGTTCTTTACGTTAATTATCCACACCAAGAAATGTCACTTTTGTCTCCCGGTACATGTTTACTTCTCACACATCTCAACTTAACTTTAGTTCATTGTCAACTTTAACTTTTAATGGTTTATTAAACCATTGTCTCCTACGAGTATGCTCACAGGCGATAAAGTTGGAGTTAAGTCCGAGGCACATTTAAAGACGTTAAAATCACATCAAGAAATTCCGGAAGAAATGAATATCTTTAATCACTCAAAAATGTTTTGGTAAAGAAGTTAATTTCCGGGAAAAATTACTTATTGTTTAAAAAAACGCTTCAATAATTTATCATTCATCACTTGCTGATTGTTAATAATGTTAGTAGTTAGAATATACGCACATGTTAATTAATCCACATCCGTTCGGGCGTAGATGTGATCTCGACGAATGCGGCGTCGATATTATTCCCACAATTTGCATCAGCACATTATGGGACGGACGTGAACGGGAATTAACAATTTGTACAATAATAAAATGCGTTCGCGGACGGGTATTGATCATGTTTCGCATTTGAGAACAATTAATTTGATGCGCGTTGTTGTAACCTCGCCTAGATTTGCATTCAAACGCACTGAAAACGCATTGTCAACCTGAACAAATATAACAACTGCATTCACAATGTAAAACATGAAATTTTAAGGTTAGGATTTTCTAGTTTTGAGTTGAGGTTATGTTTGAAGATAAAATCAATTTAAATTTATTTTTAGGGGCTGTTATATATAATAGCATTGATTTCTGTTATTATATTTAATGTTTTTATAGTTTTAGATGTTTTTGTTTTTGTTTGATGCGAGTAGGCAGGTACAATAGTAAAATCGCCTTGAAAAGAATGCACCGCCACAAACGCTGCCCGCGCCTTGAATGCGAGAATATAAATTCCGCCGGCGTCAAACGCTGACGACCAGTAGCATCTAATAATTTGCCAAATAAACATTTTCTATCTACTGCCCATAAACACTGCCTTAAAACTTAAGAAGACTTGAAAACAATCGAGGATCACTCTCGTTTGTTTTGCGCGCGCGTTCGTACGATTGGGAAATTGCGCGCGTTTCATTTTGCAAACGTTTCGAAAACCGTCGTCGCAACGGCTCAAACGCATCGAAACCTTCTTTTGCGTCTTCGGCGAGAGGCGTTTAGTCGGTTCACGTGCGCGGCGCGCGAGTGTTGTGCGGGTGTTGACGCGAATTAAAGAAAATGCGATCGCAATTTCAAAGTTTATAAAAGTTCAAAATGGCCGACTGTGTTACCACCGGTCACAATTATCCCGCATTGCAATTATTTAGTGTTTAATTTAATTACTAATAATTATTAAGTGAATTAAATTGATTTTGTGGGACTTTTTGGCGAGTATTAGCGTAAAAAGACATTGCGAAGACAATGACAACGATGGGTATTCGGTGCGCTGTGATATTAGTGTTAATTTCGTGTTCGATCACGCACATCCTATGCGGATACCTGCCGAGTCGAATTATTATAGTCGAAGATGCCAAAGGTAATGAATGGTTTCTTAACCTAACTTAACATATAACCTAAAAATTTCGGATGAGATTACAAAATCAAGTGTCGATTATATCACATTACACGTTTGGCAAATATTTACAGATTTATGTTATTCTTGCAGCTTGTGTTTGTGTTTGAGTTTAAACTTCTACTCTAGTTATTGTATTTATTGTGCGGCCGAATGAATGAGAACGATGGGCACACACTTTACGGACGAAGCGCGAGACGCCATTGCATAAGAGAAAGTAATTTACATCATCCTCACACATCTAGAGCTCTCGTGTGCTCATTGTTTCAGAACCAACACGAGAGAAGCACCATAATGACTGAATTTTGAATTTAGACTTTTAGAGCAGACTATTTACGCAGAATTGCCCAAAATTAAATAGAAAATATATCGAAGGGGTCAGCCATTAAACAAAATATTTGTAGGTTAAAAAATTAAAACTACGGGTTTTTATACAAATTTAATATTTTTTAATTGTTAAAACTTATTACCTACACAGGCGAATTTTTATTAAATTTTAATATAAAAGTCATTTGCAAAGGTGCATACATAGTTTAAATAGAAATAATATAAATTGTATGTTAAGAATATCAAGTTTATGGCCTTAATAGATGACTGCGCACACTTTTCATTTCGTTTCGAGCTCGCGCGAAATGCAACACAATGATGTGGCGAATAAACAAATTCCCACAATGCTGAGCGCTGAACAAACACAACTTTGCTATTAAAAGTAGAAGTAGACGTATTAAAACGGTGGCGATAAAAACGCAGAATTAAGACCAGACGAATAGAAATTTATACTTCTTGCAAACGAAAAAAAAAATGTAGGCGTGTTTTTGCATAAATGAGACATGAACATGGTGGCAAAGTTAATTCGGGTTAATTGTAAATTTTTGCAACACATTCAAGCAAAAACCAACAACGGAAAATTGTAATTTATAAATTTGATTTTTTTGTGTTTCAGCTTGTTTTCGACGTGCGCTTGCAGGAAAACGTGTTACTCGCAGTCTTGTGAGACGTGCGTTATCCTGCGGCAGGGTCGAAGACTGTCAGCAGGAGTGCCAGGACGAGAAACGATTTGTTTGCGAAGGTTTTAATTACAGGTAAATTAAATTAAATTAGATTTTTATGTGTTTTATGCGTTTGACTATTGTCTGTACTTCACATCGGTTACATCGGTAATGATCATAGTTGTTTTTGTTTTTGTCAAGTCACAGTTATACGTTTAGCTGCAGCGTACTTAACGAATTACACGCCAGCTCACACTTGAGTCTCACACCTTCGCGAAGAACAAACGACGAAAACAAAAGTTCTTTGGCACGGAGATCATGAGCGCGCTTGGAATTAATTTGTGCGCAAATTGAAATGAAAAGCAACAAAACAAAAGAGGAATAATTATGATTTTTTAATTAGTAACATCTGCAGTGTTAAGCTTGCCACTTTAAATGTGTCGAGAAGGTGAAAAGAAGAAAAGATTAAAAATGACATTGAATTTACATAATACTTAATGATTTTTACATTATAACATTTTAAGTAGTTAAATTTTAATTTAAAATTTTACTATCAAAATATAAAACAAAAAATTTGCGTGAAAAGGAAAATCTACATAAATTCAATGTCGATTTTTTTTATTATAAAACAATTAATTGTGTTATTTAGTGTGTAAAAAAATCTTTTGTCATAAATAACGGGTTTTCACTTGTATTCTTTTATTGCGCACGTGTCATTTACGATGAGATAATACAAAACATTTATGTCTATACATCATGCACGTAAACACATCCTGAAAGTGAAACAAATGAACAACTGACTCATCTGATTGTTTTTATTATAACGGATACAGAAAAAAACAAAAGTGATGCTCAGCACGCGAAATGCATTAACATAATGCCACAGCGTGCAAAATTGCAAAAATTATCGCAGAAATTACACACAAAAAAAGAGGAAATGAACACGCATCTCTTGTCCTGTCGCCAGTGTGCATCATCACTGGCCCAAGGTCGCGCAAGATAATCGTGATGACCATGCAATACATTCCATGTGCAAAAAGACCTTCCTCAATTGAATCGTGATTACGCAAGCCGTGCATGTTACTGTTATTATTTTGTGACTCATGACGTAACTTTAAATTGCTGCAGGTTGGATCCATCAGGTCGTGGTAATGGCGACTGCGAATTGTTGGACTTGCCAATGATCCGCATGGATATGATACGGGATATTTACCCAGATCCCGATTATGATTTATACGAAAAAGACCGGAATGGTTATCCGGATTGTAAGGGAGGTGGTTTTGGTTATGGGTTTGGTGATAGAGACCGTGATCGGCATAGGGATAGAGATAGAGATCGCGATTATGACCGAAATCCTTACGCTGATCGTAGACAAGACTCAGGATATGATCGGGATCGCCCGGAGCCACGCCCAATTGCTCTGCCTCCTAGACCTTTAGATTATCCCAGATATCCTGATAGAAACCAGGATAGGTATGATGATCGGAGACGTCCAGGAGGGTATCTCCCTGATAATCGGCGGGTAGATGACCATCATGGGCATGGACATTATGGGCCTGGAGGCGGAGGTAAGAGGTGTCCTTGACATTCGTGCTGGGTGGAGCATAGAATAGAGTTTTAGATTCGTAGACTAGAACAATGCACTTTTATAAACCTATAAGGAATTATGTCAACAGTACAAAAGAAAACAATGGCGCCATAATTTATTGTTGTACATTTGTGACTTTTGAGCACTTTTTGGAATTGGGCACGATTTGGAGTTTTTGAACACCTCGCATTTGTAGAATTAGACGCACCACATAGATTTTAGATAGTATTTTTTGTGTGATTGACTATCGTGTTTGGAAATTTTGTACTTTTTGATGATAATTTAAAAAACTATAAATAAAAACTAGTTGGAAGACAAAGGCGTTTTATTTTTTGAACTTTACTAATTTCGCTTTTACTAATTTCGAACTTCTAACGTTCTAGATTATCACAATCACAACAATTACGACTTTAACAACCATCGCGACTCCCCTTCATACCTCCCAGACCGGAAGCCCGCGCATGATCGCAACCAGTGGGGACTAGCGGGTTCCAATTCGTGGGGGTCTTACGGCAATGGTCATACACAATCGAATGGGTATGGGCATGGTCAGAGTAATGGTGTTCCTGCCCCGTATGATATACCAGCTGGGGATACTTACGCTCCTAAACCAGGGTATGACTTATTACCAAAGCAACCAAGTTATTTACCTGGGAATACCATTGGTGGGTCAAGAGGATATGGGCAGGAGACAGGGGGGATTTATGGGAATGCATATGGTGGGTCCTACGGTGGTATAACTTATGGATCAACAAGACCTACATTTGGTATTGTGATTCCCATCAATTCAAATAATTTCGGACAACCTAAACCATCAGGATATGGATCAACAGGTAGTGGGTATGGATCTGCGTCAGGTAGTGGGGGAACTAGTGGGTATGACTATTCAAATGTTCCGATATCAGAAGATAACTTTCCTCATACAAACGGGGACACTTTGGAACACAAAGATGGTGATTCTAAACATAGTGGTTATAATTTCCTTAAAGATGAGTGTTCTCTAAGAACGGCCACGGGTTTCCGTCTGCATAAAATCATAGTGAAGAAATATTACTCTGTTCCGGATATTTACGAATGTGAAACGTTGTGTTTTAAGGAGAAAGATTTCCAATGTTATTCATATGCGTACAGATACACGATGACATCAAGTGTCCCTACTGATAATTGCTATCTCAGCGAGAGAAGCTACAAGCAGTTAGATTTTTATACAGATTTAGAACCTGATAGAGATTTTGATATTTATACAATGAATAATCGTAAAAAGTGCGAGGAACAGATTCCGTTAGAAAAAGAACACTCTGATTGTTTCTGGCATACAAGGAGTGGTCAGAGATTGGATCAGAAAGTTGTACGGGAAGCCACCATGGTGAAGAGCATCGTGGAGTGTCAACTTGCTTGCCTTAGATCAACAATATTTTTATGTAGGGGATTCAGTTTCAGGTAGGAATTTTATTAATTTCTTTGAGAAATATCTAAAAAAATATAATATTTAAAAACAGATACGGATCTCCGGTTATTGGAGGCCCAGTTGAGAATTGTCTGCTTACTGATTGGCCCTTCAAAGAAATAGATCCAAACACACAATTTGCGAGCGAATTGGGTTTCGAAATCTATGAGCGTGGAAGTTTTGGACATGGCTGTGAACCTAATCATTTTGCCGTTCGAGGAAAGGATCATCCTATCGTTGGTGCAAAAACTGATCAACGTAACATTTCTTTTAAATATCTCACATTTATTAAAATTATAATTTGTCTTTTTTAGTTTGTTATGTAGGTTACGGCACACCTGCGCGACTTCAACCATCTGCGATTAGGAAATCGTTGACGGTTACGTCTGAATTGGATTGTAAAACAGAGTGTACCAAGTTTAGACATTCCAGTTTATTCCAGTGCATGTCATTCAGCTATAGGTAATTAATTTTTAGTTTTTACTTTTGAAAAGAGTAACATATTTTTGTTGCACATAGGAGTAAACCTCAACGTGGTGAACCCAACTGTGATCTTTCCGATATTCTTCAACGGGACTTACTTAATAACATAGATTATATTCCCGATTCTGATTCGTGGTTATTTGCATGGGACCATTACAATCCTGAGTGTGTGAGTATAGGTAATCCTCCAAACCCTTCTCCTGGAGGAGGCCAGGGTCAAGGTGGTTATGGTCAAGGAGGCGGAGGTGGTCACTATATTCCAAACCAGAGTCATGGTCATGGCCATGGTCATGGTGGAGGATATGGTTCTGGTTTTAGAGGAGATCAGGGAGCAAATCATGGTCATGGATTGATTGCATTAAGACCACATCCGCATGATGGTCCTCATGGTACCCATGCTCATGAAAACGGCCACGGCAGAGATGATCTCTATGATATACGAAAATATGGTAATCTAGGACAACTGAAACAATTTTTTTACTACTTTTATGTGTTTTTTTTTTAATTTAACAGAAGGACCTATTACTGCTTTGGACACTTGGAGAGTCTACTCGGTAAGTGGTTGGCCTTGTCGTCGTGGTTCCCTTTGTCGTGAAAACAAAGATGCTGGTTTCTGGTACTGCGACCTTGAAGGAGGTGATCGCGGAACTTGGGATTACTGTTGTCGTCCGGATCATCAATGTGGGTATTCTGAAGGTTACAATTATCAATGGTGTTATGTTGGTCCAGAACGCACGCAATGGCGTAAATGTAGTGAAAGATACTATCCCTACTCCCCACAACGTCGTCCTGGTGGTTCTGGACACCGTGGATCTCAAAAACCATACCTACCCTCATACAATCCAAACTATGATCCCCCACCACCTTATGCCGATGGTTTCCTGCCTTCGAACGCACCGCGACCACCTCCATTCCGACCCAATCGTCCATTACAACGTCCTCGCATCCCACCAAACATGCCAAGTCTCAACGAATATGAATCGGAATTCAATCGTCAGTTCCTGGATCCGCCGAAACCTGGAGGCTTTGGAGAACCTCGCTACTGGCCTGTGTCATATCTCCACAAGGAGCAACCACCTGAAGCTGGGAACGCCACTGAATTTAAATACGACCGCATGAAAGATGGACGCATTAACGCCATTCATAATCTTATCACAATCATAAAATCCAATACTCTGAAAGACATCAAATACGAAATCAACAACGATACTAATCTTCTCATACAAGTACCACTGCCAGGAAATTTCACTCAAGATGGTAAAGTCAACACCACATCAACAAACAAAACAACAAGTTCGAAACGAAATAGAAACAGAGATAAAGCAAACATAGAAGAATCTCAACCTGAGAATTCTACGAAAACCAACAATGAAACCAAAGCGGATCAAATTGACGCAGCTTCCGAAGATGGTTCCACAAATAATAAAAGCGTAAATACCAGACATGTTCATCGTAATGATCATGAACATCCTAAATTCTTTACTTCGGGGTCTTCAGGGATAGCAAATATAGATTCCCCGGGATCTCATCGATCAGGTAGATCAAGACAGTTATCTATACAAGATATCACAAAACATCTGTCAACGCATGAGCTAAGAGCATCTCCGTTAAAAGTGGAGAAGGGGCATGAGGAGTTAGCGCCACTAACAGTGCCGACGTACAAAAAGAGTTATATCGTGCGGACAAACAAAACCGATCGGTCCTTGAACATTTCGTTCTAAAATGTTCAAGTTAGCAGGTTAAGTGTATTATAATATAATGTGCGCTTATATACCAAGTAAGTTTTAGTAATACTTAGAGTAGTAAAAAGTATTAAGAATTGGTAGTGATTAAAATATTTAAGTATACATTTTATTTATTTGCGAACGGTCAGTGTTAATGGCTAGATTTTATCAAATCAGCTGCTCTTTCTGCAAGAGCAATCACGGCCATGTTGGTATTCCCGGTAACAATCAGTGGCATAACGCTCGCGTCCACAACTCTGAGACCATCAATGCCGTGAACTTTCAAATCTTCATCGACGACAGCCATGTTATCATTACCAATTTTACACGTGCCTGATGGATGATACAGAGTAGTAGCAAAATTCCTCAAACTGCAAGTCCAGAACTTTTTCGAATTGAATTCTAAGTGTTTGCAATTGGGGATTTCAAAGTCTACAACTTTGGAACCAGCGAAAGCATCGGTGCTCACTAACTGATTTAAATGTCTAATGGCACCTAACATAGTTTCTACATCATGTTCATCTGTAAGATATCCGGGATGGATCAATGGAGCATCTTTAGCTTTATTACTGGCTAAGAGAATCTGACCACGTGATTTTGGTTTTGATAAAATTGCAATGAAAGTCATCATTAGATTCTCGGCACTTTCGGCCATAATACTATCTGCTGATACTTCATTGAAACCCAATTTTGTGACATAGAACGGGAGAGAATCTGATCTTTCTTTAACATTGTCATATGCATGTATTGAATGTCAGGGTATTCGGAGTCATTTCTGGTGTTGATCCATCCAACCATTTCACCAATGTCAATTTGTCCAATGGGACCATCTTTTGTCTGGCAATAACCTTCGAGGAATTGTTTTGCGTCAACTGCAATAGGTAAATGAGGGATCTTGACCAGGTATCCGGGGAACATCAAATGGTCCTGGAGATTCTGCCCAACTCCAGGGAGTTCTTTAATTTGAGGAATTCGAAGTGGTTGCAGGACAGATTTGGGGCCTATTCCGGAAAGCATTAGTAATTGTGGTGACATTACTGCACCAGCGGACATAATCACTTCCTTAGAAGCGTAGAGTTTCTGCTCGTTCTGAAGAAGAACCCCAATTGCTTTGGGACCATCTCTTCTTCTAAAGAGCACACGCTCTACGGCGGTGTTGGTCATCACACAAAGATTACGTCTTTTGTTTGCGGTTACAATATATGCTTTAGCAGTGTTGAATCTTTGGTTTGCATTGATGGTTAAATTAATATCTTGGTAACCAAGATGGACACTGTGGTCATTTACGGGTAGACCCATAGCTTCCGCGGCAGCTAAGACCATTGCCCTTGTAGGCATTGGACTTTGATAGGTTGATGTTTGCATTTGTTTGAAGGCTTTATCATAGTATGGTTTTATATTATCCCAACTCCAACGAGTGTTGCCCAGGTTGGCCCATTCATCATAATCACGTTTGAATCCTTTAATAGCCAACATTGCGTTGATAGTACTACCCCACCTAAGGCTTTTCCTTGTGGCCAGTTACATCTTTGATTGGTGAGACCTAGACAATGGTTACCAAGTTCTGTTTTGAATTGCCAATCTTCTTCTGTGCCTTGTAAAGCCATGAAAGTAGCTGGGGCCTACAAATATTTGGAATATTTTGTCTTTTTTTACTTTAAATTTTTTTTACCTCTGATAATTGACTTGGTACACCTCCAGCTTCAATCAAAAGCACTTTCCAATTAGGATTTTCTGTTAAACGTGAGGCCAGAGTTGTTCCAGCCGATCCTCCACCAATAATAATAAAGTCATATTTATTTTTCGCGCTGAGATCGCATTGCGTTTGGTAACTACTTCTATCATACAACGGACATTGATTCAGATAAGTTGCAATAAATGCAAGAAATTTCAACGCTTCGACGGAAAGCGCCATTTTTCCAGTTGGAAATATTAAAATTTAGTGCTTGGTTGAGGTGGTATTACACAATTTTTATACTCGTGAATGTCGTGAATCTTATCGCTGTATTTATTTTTATATATTATTATAATTATGAAACCATCGCCATTAGTTTATTAGTAATGGAAATAACTTATCAGCAGCACTTCAATTATTCAAATGCCAAAGTGTACTCTCGAAACCGTCTTATAGAGCATTTTTTATCAGCTATTTCGTAAATTTATAACAACCAGACGCGTAAACATAAATTAAGAACAAATCTTTTGATAATAACAATATTGCAGTAACATTATTTTAGTAAAACTAATAAAACAATGTAAAATTAATAGTTTTAATCACATTTTCGGAGATATTTCGCCTGAATTTTAAAATAGTTGCGAATTGATAAGGAAATATGCAAATTCCCACTTGAAAACATTCAAATTATTATAATTCAAACAAAAAGCAAATATTTTTAGTATTTTCTGAATGATAACAAAACAAAAATTATCATGGTTCCTTGTTTCTTTTGTTTTCAATGAATTTATTATATTTATTATCTGGTAATGTCAAAGGTCAAAAACAAATCAATTGACACATTTTTGAGACAATTTTGTATCAAAATATTAATTATACAAGATGCCGACAAAATTATATTCCAAAGCGGGTGCCGCAAGAGGAATAAAAGTGCCTGCAACCGATGAAGACAAAGCATTGTTGATAAGAGCAAATACTTATCCACCTGGCGTGAAAGGCTTACTGCGCATCCCCACTGACCCACTCTATACCGTTGCCATCTTGTTCATCAACCTGTTTACCTATACTTGCATTATTTATGACTTCAGTGTTGAATTGAGACGCCGCGCGTACGTTGGTGAATTTGTGCTCATCGATTCCGGATCTTTACGCCGTAAGTCATTTAAAAATTTCATAAATTCTGTCAAATTTGATTGATTCCGTATATTTTGAGCTAGGTTTTATATTTTGCATGGATTTCATTATTTTTATCGATGTTCTCTTGGGTATTTGTCATCGTCAAGCTAAAATGACACCGGCGCGGAGTATCTTAAACATTACAATTGATTTCATTGCTTTGATACCATACGAATTGATTTATGTGGTCATGCGAGGAGTTGACATGCGCGTTTACTTCGGTTTGCGTCTCAGATACGTTCTGAAATTATTTCGGTACATTAGCGAAGTTCGTCATGCGAACCGATTTAAACTATCAATGGAATACGTAATGGCTGTTTATATTATTGTTATGTCTGCGGTTTGTTTAATGGCTGTCTGCATTCGGCTGCAGATTCAGTAAGAAATTATTTATTTTTATTAATATCATAAACTTATAATAATATTTTAGTTGTTTGCCGGACTATACAAACAAAAATTCAATCATTCAATGCGATAATCTTACATTGGTTGATATTGCATTCACATATGCAATCATTAATGGTCAAATTAGTTATTCGGGAATGCTTTTTGTCAATGATTCATTCACGAATATCAACCACCTGGATAATATCATACAAATATTCTTCATGATTACGTATTTCATCTTGATATCAAAAGTAATCTGTATATTTTGGGAGAAAAATCAATACAAGTATCAGTTTTGCTCGGTTGGTAATTCGGTGTTGAAAGTAATGGCTACCAGCAAGACACGCAGCTGGTTTGGGTACTTTCGACAAACAGATAACAGAAAAATGACGTTTTTGAGACAATACCTGGCGTCATGTTGGAAACACTATCAAGTTGAGCACATTAAAGCAAGTTACGTTGGTGATTACAAAGCAGCGACTATCCCGGCCGTGATTTATGCTGAAATGACACTAGATCTGAATTGGAACATGTTTAAACACTCGAAATTATTTCGAAATGAAGATGTGGCGTTTCTAAGACAGTTGTCAAAGTTAACTGTGTTCAGTTTTGGAACGAAAAACGACATTATTTATCAGCAAGGAAATCGTAGAAGTATTATGATTTATATTATCAAAGGAATTGTTAGTATGATGAGTGAGAGTACCGGAAAGACGCCATTAATGTCGTTTTCGGGCGGGACCGTTTTTGGCGAACTGTCATTATTTTTAAATGTGCCATCAGCCACCACAATCGCTTGCAGTACTTATTGCGAATATCTTGTACTTTCAAGACTGGAATTCATGAAGATCCGGCAAATTTACCCGGAAACTTATCAGAAGTTACAAACTAAATGTCTTAAACGGATAGAATATGCAAAAAATTATGATTTTCTTGCAAAGGAAATGTATAAAAATGGCGAAATAGCTTTACCCAAATCAAAAGTTTCTCTAAGGTAACTTTTTTAAATCTTATTAGTTTTATTTACATCAATTGAATTTCAGATATATAAAATCAATTCTAAGAAAGTATATGGTATCACCCCAGCCGCCTTTAGAACAATCAATATTTATACCCCCCGATATGAAACCGGAAGCTTCTTTTAATGGTACCATTTTTAACACACGTTTTATTTCACTCTACGTGGAAGCAAACAAAATCGAATCGGATTTCAACACGCACTTCGCGGTTGCCGGTATCAATTTTAAACTTAAACCTTCATCTACACTCTACTCAATATGGCGCTTTTGGATTTGTGTCCTCACTTTAGTCGATTGCATATTTTATCCGATAGGCGCCGCTCAGGATACTGGTCTCTACACAAACATCTACGATTATTTCGTAATAGGCATTCGAATTTTTTACATTCTCGACTTTGTCACCTATAATTTCATTTCGATTAAACAAGATGGCCGTGTGATAGTTGACTCTGAATTGATTCTAATGCACCATATTCAAACGTTGTACTTTTGGCTAGATTTTGTGAGCTGTATTCCCATTGAGGTTCTTGTGAACCTAATGCAAACCGAATTACATCCGTATATTTATCGTATGTATGGGATTAATAGACTCATCAAGCTTTATAAGGTTTTTATGACGATTGATCATAACATAATGATCAGTTCGGTGCTGTTGTTTGTGATGCCTATCGTCAAGTCCATCTACAGCGCCATCTTGCTGTTATTCTTCGGTTATTTGACATTCCATAGATTTGGTTATTACGATCGTTGTATTCTGGAGGTACCCGAAGAAGAGGTGACTTTCTGGATGAAAATAAATATTGTCTATCAGTTTTACTTCTCCATGGGCGAAGTTGGAATGGAAGTCGATCGAAACGCGAATTTGATCCCGTTGATTATCCTGCAAATTGCCGCAATGTATGTGCTGACGTATATTTTTTGTTTAAACGCGGCTGCATATAGTCTTCATAAATTGCCAACCATTACCTATGAGAATATGGTCGATGATATAAAACGAATTTTTGAACTTTTGAAATTCCCTTATGGTCCACGAACAAAAATGAATAATTATTTGAAGATGTTACACGGAATAGAAAATCCCACTCAAGATATCACGTACCGTCCAATGATGGGCAAAGCTTTATACCGAGATCATACCATCAATATGCACTATAAATTTATAGACAGCTTAGCACTGTTCGAAACCCTGTCAAAAGCAGCGAAACATAGAATTTGTGAAGTCGCTGATGTACAATTTATTCCACGTGGAGAACTTGTCGTAATCGCCGGATCTGTAGTGAAGAATATTTATTTTATTATGGATGGACGGTGTGAGTACACCTTGAAAGATGGTACCCCTGAATTGAGGCCACTGGAAGCAAAAACTGCAATACTTTTGCTTGAGGCTTTGGTCGGTCACACTGCGATTTCGAATGTTATCGCCAAAACAGACTGTCGATTTTTGAGCATTTCCGTCAGCGACTTCCGCCGAAAATTAATCAAATATCCCGCAGAAATGGCCGAACTCAAAAGTGCTGTTATTAATGTCATCGCAACGCAGCACATGAGACATTTGCAGACAATTGAACCGCGAGCAAACGCTTGTTTAGAAGAAAATACATCATGCCGGTATTATAATCTTAATCCAGTTCAGTTCAAGATTGCATTTGGCTTCTTTAGTTTCATATCTATGTTTTTCATGAAGAGGACTATTACACCGTTCGGGAGATTTTGGTTTTCGTGGGAAATTGCTCACATTTCGATTGTTTTTATTTATTCGTTCATTGGTACCATTCCGATTACGGTGAGTTGTGATTTCCGCCATGTTTGGTTTTATTTGTTCCGGCTGCTCGACGTTTTCTTCATTATTGATATCTATTTACGTCATCATGTCGGGTATTTCAATAAGTATCAAATCGAAGTGCTGCATCCATGGAAATGTGCGAAACATTACTGGAAAACTGGCTTTTTATTAGAGTTTATTGCAACCCTTCCGTTGGAATTAATTGTATTACCTTTGGTGGATAGCATAGACATAACCTATCTTACACTTCTACGTGTCAACCGCCATTTGCGAATCTTTAGATTTCGTGGATTGGTCAAATTTCTCAATTTTCGCTATTTGAAGACTTATAAAGCTGTTGTCCTCCTCACTTTTATGAGTATTTCATTAATCATGTGCAACTTTTTGTTAGTTTTTCTGTATCAATCCGAACCTGTGGTCATTCGAAATTGCCGGCCTATTTTCGAAGAAAACAACGTGTTTGTTTTATGGGAAAGTTATACATATAAACTGAAAAGTGCCATTAAACAAATATTCAACGTTGGAATCCACGAAGACTCCGCAAATATATCACAACTTTGGTTAAATGTATTAATGAATGCCCTGGGACAAATTGTCATCACCTCAGTATCGTGTGTTATCATCGGGATGAGTTTATATAGACGGACGTATCTCATGACGTTTCAAATCAAAATGCAGCGACTGCTTATGTTCATGAACATTCGCAAGATTGACAAGAACCTTCGCAACGAGATTATTAAACACTTCGAATTTCAATGGGTATTGCGAGAAGGTAAATCCCTAGTAGAAACTTTAAAGACATTTAATCGAAGCCTCACGGACGAAATCAAATACTGCTACTACGCGCCATCTTTTCACGATACTTTATTATTTATGAACTACCCAAAAGTGCTTCTAAAAGAACTTTTCTCCGAACCATCCATTCAGCATGAATTCATACTCATCACTGGCGTCGTAATTCGGGTAAATGATGTACAGAATAAGATTTACATTGTTTACAAAGGACAAGTGCAAGTGTTGGGACCAGATTTTGGTTATTTACGAGATTTAAGAGGTGGAAGTATGTTTGGTTGTCTGGATAATGTCCCGCTACATCGAAGTACGCTCACTTATGTAGCAAAGACACATTGTGAGTTTCTATCAATTCCAAGCGATAAATATCATGAGATAATGAGTAAATATCCACGATTCTACAAGTTTTACTTGAGAATGCTCAGGTCTTCTAATTATGACTACATTCCTTGTGGAAAAATAAGCAAGAAGAGACTTGATGAGACGCCTTCCAGTAGTGCGATCGTTGAGAGAAAAAAGAAAAAAGCAATTCGGTTTGTTTTAAGATTACTGGACAAGTTGACAAGTATTGTTCCCGTGGTAAAAGAACGCGAATACGTGAAAATTCTTTTCACTGTTTATGCCCTGGTAGCCTTCCAGTTTCAATGCCTGCTGCTCACTTTTCTTTCTGGCTACTTCCGGAATGTGGTCTATGTTGCATACGCGCTAGATGTTTTGTTTTGGATAAACATGTATTTTGACTTCTCGACAGTCTACGAAAACCAATACGGGCTGAAAATACGAAGTCGTCGTTTGATTGCCATCAAATACACTTCGGAGTTTTTCGGCGCGCCGTGTCATTTTCTAGCAAATTTCCCGATTGAAGTTATTGTGTTGGGATTCCCAACCGGATATAGAAGACAAACATGGGCGTATCTAAGATCCAATCGATTGTTAAATATCGTATTCGTTTTCAGATACATTCGCTCTGTGCGCAATCGACTTAACATTAATGTTCGGTTGATATTGATATTGAATATTCTTTTGATTCTGTATACTACTCAACAGTTGAGTATAATTTTTCTCTCGTATTACATTGGCGATGAGTTTTTCTACCTGGACGCACTGATTTATCACAGTTATTTGATTTCGAAGAAAGTTTACACTCCGTTTGTGATAAGTACTTCTGATTTAGCAAAATCAGTGGCGTATAAATTAGATTTTGTTTTGGTTTTACTCGCTACCCAATTGGTATGTGTTTTGGTGGTTGGTGACTGTGTTGCCACCTATCACATGCTTAACTTTAGTCGTTTTCGGTACGAGACTTTCTATAATAGTCAGGATAAATCCATGCGGTTGATGAATCTCTCGGAGCCACTTATAGCACGCGTGCAACTTTACTGCAAGAATCTTATTCATCACGGCCTGAACGTGCAATTTCCATCGTTTATAATCAATGCACCGTATTATTTACGTGAGGGAGTGCTTGACGCCATGTTTGGTTTTCATTTACGAGCGCATCCAGTGTTCAAATTAGCGCATTCAGACTTCAATCGACAAGTAGCAGCAAGATTCAAGACGCAGTATTTTTTCGAAGGCGATTTTATCGCGTTCCAGAATGATATTGACACAAAAATGTATTTTGTTCATTCGGGGGAAATTGAGGGATTGGTTGAGGATAATATATATTACGATGTCGCTGATAGTAGATATTCTCCTGGTGATTACTTTGGATTTCATCAGTTGATTTTTACGAATGTTGGACATACAAGAACATACAAAGTGGTTTCGAAAATGGCGATGGTTCTTTCTGTGAAACGCGCAGCCGTATCAAGACTTTTGGATTTTTTCCCTGCTACTAAGTTTTTATTTAACAACAAAGACACGCCAAATGATGATTTGAAGCTCGCCAAGGTGGAGCTTCGAGATTATTTGGAATATACTAAAGGCATTCACGATTAATCAAACAACATGGTTTTATTGTGATGTTTTTCGACGCCTCTCTACAGCCACAAGTAAATTATCAATTTCTTCAATCGTATAGATCTTCTTTCGCTTCTGCCCGTTCGTTACAAGCGTTGTTTTATCCTGTAACATAAAAAACAATGAAACACATTTATAAACATAGTAAATAAATAAAAACAGTACCCAAAACTGAATATATTCCGGTGAAATAGATTCAAGGTGCAAAAGGCGGTCTTCTAATAATTTTAAACGTTTGTAAATATTTTTCGGCACTGCAGTATCCAATGATAATTGTGTTTCCAAATTGGCGATTCGCTCGTGGACACCGTTCTTTGGAATATGCTTACGTAAGTACTCGCATCCGTTTTGATCACGTTCACTACACTTATTATACACTTTGTTGACTGCAACAATAACCAACATTAGCTCTAATGATAAATTGATGTAATCGCTAACCTTGTAAATGTCCTTTCGAATCTTTTCGTTTTTTCAACACCGAATCGATGCGAGCACATGAATCATCCGCTTCAATGCTCGGATCTCGTCGACAAAAATCACGCACGTTTGCGTGATTAACTTCGGTCCTTTTGCGCTCCATGAAACGTTCAATTCGTTCATCTATTTCTTCATTTGTTGCCTTGATTTGTATTAGATGTTGTGGAATCAAAGCAACATCAACGATTTGTTCGGCAGTGCGTTTGAAACGTGTTTGGGAAGGAAATTGGGATACTAAAACAAACATTTGACGATTTTTAATTGGAAAATTTAATATTTATTATAAATTTCATTTGTTAGACCATAAACACTCCTTATTTTCTTTCCACACACCTGCAGATTCATTATAAATTTCTTTTTTCCAAATTGGTACACTCTTTTTGACATTGTCAATGCAGAACTCAGTTGCTTTGATTGCATCACCTCGATGTGGAGATGATATTGCAATTACAATGCTCGCTTCCTTGACAGGCACAGTTCCTAGTCTAAAAAAAAACAACATGCTTAAAATTTGTTAATTTTAATTAATTTTTAGTTTACCTGTGATATATTGCAATGTTTTCGACATCAGGCCATGCTTTTCTTATTTCATCACAGATACTTTTCATTGCTTTAACTCCCATTGTTTCATATGCTTCATATTCAAGTTTCATTACTTCTTTATTTTCAAAGTTGTCTCTTGTAGTACCAATAAATGTCGAGATAGCACCACATTTTGGAGATGTGACCAAGTCACAGATTGCCTCTACATTGAGCTTCTCTTCAGAAAACTTTAAAAAATCCATTTTACAATTATGTTTATACTATCCACCACTTAGTGGAGGAATAACAGCTATTCTGTCGCCTGGTTTCAGATCAATGTTAGCTTCTTCTACACAAAACTCTTCATTTACAGCAATGATAATGTTTTTCTCAATTATTTCCAAGTGAAATACGTCGACTATTTTCTTTGCTAGATCTTTGTAGGTTATATTAGTTGGCAAACAAAGTGTAGAGGACTTTTGGCCAACGATTTCACGTGATTTTGCGAAGAACAACACTTCCACATCGACGCTCATCGTACCACGTCCATACTTGAACTGTTCTACGATCGCATACCTACATAGTATAGATAAAGTTAATGAGGTTTTACGTAATAATACCAAATTTAAAACTGTGTTAGCAACTAGATATACCGCAGTAACAGTTATATGAACACAGAGTAAATACGATTTTCATTTATAAATATCATTAACAATATTTACAATAGTATAAGTTTAGTATGTAATTGGTAAATAGAGTTGAATGTAAATAAAAATCATACAATACTAGTTGCCCAATACTTAGTTTATTATTTGTCAGTAATAAATGTTTTTATTTTGTTTATTAATTGATAATAATTTGGTACATCTACTAATGAAATTTTAAGATTTTATTGTAATATGTAGGTATTACAATGTTTAGTATTTACTTATGTTTAGTGTATAGCTTATTCGAAATCAAACACATTACATAACCGCGCGGTGGCGCTGCGATCAACTGCGCACGAAATTCAAATGTCCCTAATCTGAATACAAGAAAGCTGCCGATTTCAATCTATCTCGCAACGCTCGAGTTTATTAAATCACATGACTAAAATTTCGTTTCGCGCAATTGACACTTGTTATACTATTAATTAATGTCCGCGCGCATTAGTGTTTACATTAAAACGCATATTTTATTGGGTTCACGGCGTGCAACCAACGCGCAGTGTCTTTGCGCACTGGTCTTGGCATTGTACGCTCAGCTCGGTGGGTCTCCGGTTTCATGTTACAGTTGTGTGCTGAACACGGTCGGGGTCGGTTGTTCATGCAGTTCGACATGTTCCTTTCAATTTTAATCGTGTAAACACCGGCGAAGTGTGGACAAAGTAAGCATCATTTTTTAATAAATATATACCTCGTGCCCGAATTGTCTAAAAGCCGCCCTTCAGATTCGGTAATCTTTAATATTTTTGAAACACGCGGTGGTAATTTGGCTGTATCTCGGAAATTGTTCGTGCTACTTCAATGATTGTTTCGAATTTATATAAAGCGAGAACCATTTTATATTAAGCGATTTTGCCGCCACCAGAAATCGGTCTAGAAGTGCCTTAAAATCGCCTTCAGACTTTTACTATTTTTGTCAATTTTCGAAACTCGTGGTGGAAATTTGGCTGTATCTCCGGAATCGTTCGTTCGCTTTCAATGATTCTTTTAAAGTTTGGTATCGCAAGAGCTTTTTTACAATACGCGTGCTCTCCGCTCCCTGATATCACGCTAGACGTACCATAAAATCGCTTTCAAACTTTTACGATTTTTGTGAATTTTCGAAACAGGCGGTAGAAATTTGCTGAATCTCGGGAATCGTTCGTACGATTTCAATCATTCCTTCAACTTAAACTTGATTTTTTTCATTCTAAATGCTTTAATATTATTCTAATTCTGTTTTGTTACGCAGATTATGATGCCAGGGAAATTGTTCGTCATTATGTATTGAAGAGATTTTAATTGAATATCTAAGAAGCCGTGACAAGAAAATATCTTCAGGTTTTTTCACAACGTCTTCTTGGGTCTTTTCTTCAAAATTTCTTCAAAATGTATTGAAAGTTGTGTGTGTGCGCCGTAGTACTTGATGCGCTAGAAATTGTAGTTTTTTTTAGTATTATACGCGAACGCGCTGTCACCGTAAGTTCGGAATAATTTCCCCAGATGCAGAATTTAATTCTGTATCCCCCTGAATCGAAATTTATTGCGAGAAAATTCCATTACGCGAGTTACATTGAAAGTTGTGTGTGTGCGCCGTAGTACTCGTTGCGCTAGGAATTATAGTTTTTTTGTTATAACACGCGAACGCGGTATCACAATTAATTCGAATTAATTTTCCTAGATGCAGAATTTAATTTTGCATCTCCCAGTATAAAAATTGTTTGCTAGAAAATTCAGTAACGCGAGTTATAATGAAAGTTGTGTTTGCGCCGTAGTACTCGTTGCGCTAGGAATTGTAATGCGGAATTAATTTCTCCGCCGGATGGAATTTGTTTCATGCCGGAATTCGACCTGCAACCCGCAAAAATTTGCATAAAAGGGTGAATTTTTCACCCTTTCTCGTGAAATATTTGTATTTTTTCGTGTTTACGCGCGATCTAGCCGGCTTACTAAGTTCAGCGCGGTGTCTAGAGATGCGGAATTAAATTCTTTGTCGGATGGAATTTGTTTCTTGCCGGAATTCGACCTGCAACCCGCGAAAATTTGCATAAAATGGTGAATTTTTCACCCTTTCTCGTGAAACATTTGTATTTTTTCGTGTTTACGCGCGATCTAGCCGACTTACTAAGTTCAGCGCGGTGTCTAGAGATGCGGAATTAAATTCTTCGTCGGATGGAATTTGTTTCTTGCCGGAATTCGACCTGCAACCCGCGAAAATTTGCATAAAATGGTGAATTTTTCACCCTTTCTGGTGAAACATTTGTATTTTTTCGTGTTTACGCGCGATCTAGCCGACTTACTAAGTTCAGCGCGGTGTCTAGAGATGCGGAATTAAATTCTTCGTCGGATGGAATTTGTTTCTTGCCGGAATTCGACCTGCAATCCGCAAAAATTTGTATAAAAGGATGAATTTTTCACCCTTTCTCGTGAAATATTTTTATTTTTTCGTGTTTACGCGCGATCTAGCCGACTTACTAAGTTCAGCGCTGTGTCTAAAAATGCGGAATTAAATTCTTCGTCTGATGGAATTTGTTTCTTGCCGGAATTCTACCTGTAACCCGCGAAAATTTGCATAAAAATGTGAATTTTTCACCCTTTTTCGTGAAACATTTGTATTTTTTCGTGTTTACGCGCGATCTAGCCGACTTACTTAGTTCAGCGCGGTGTCTAGAGATGCGGAATTAAATTCTCCGTCGGGTGGAATTTGTTGGTTGCCGGAATTCGACCGGCATCCCGCGAAAATTCGCATAAAAAGATGAATTTTCATAGTAAGTAATAAATTATTACCATATTATATCTTATTTTTGTTATCTTTATATTTAGGTGCTATGCAGTTTTAGTTAATTTAGCAAATTAAAAATGAATTAAAGTTACAAATCACAGCGCATCTAATTTGTGTTTGTTTTTAGATGTCAAGGAGTTGAACGTAACTTCGGTATACAACCGTGCCCGCATTCAATTGTGAGTATTGAAATTCTTATCATTTTGGCCTGGTATATCTTTTCCTTGTTTAGTCGATCGTGCGATGTTGTTTGGTCCACACGTGTTTTGTTCGCAAGTCGATCTTCATAACTAGTTTGCGCGTTTTTTGTGATTTTAAGTCGGTAGTTAAATTTGAATCGATCAGCAAAGATAACATTTAGAATTATCAGACTAGTGCGGCGTGCAGTTAATGAATTATCGCGCGTGGAAGTCAGAATTGTGTAGTTTTACAATGTGCGTACGTTTTTGCCGTCCGCCGTCGGATACCTTACGTCGGCTATGAAGTCCGCCGCAGTGATTTTATTTGCGTAATGATATTAATTGGTGAAACTAAACACTGTTTGACCCCGTGTGGATTATTTTAACCGAGAAAGTGCACGTAGGTAACTGCCACATTAACATTCGATAAATTAAACAATTAGTGAAGATGTTTCATGGACGGAATGAATTTATCGGACGTTAAGGAAAAGCGAGGTAACCGTTGAATAAGTAAATACTCTGAAAATAATTTCATTATAACAAATAATTTTAAAATTCAACATGTACTCTTATGATTGTATGAGTTGCAATAAACTATACTTTTAATATTACATTTGCTAGTATATTTGTCTATGTTTCCTTTTTGTCGTTTTCAGAATTAGATTTAGAGGCCACATTTGATAGTACGTGTATGAAATGCGAATAACAAGTACATAAATGTTGTTGTTTTTAAAAAGGTAACAAAAACAACAACATTTATACCTGAAACGAATATGTTTTGATATGAGAGCTCGGTGGCTCAGGTGGCATGTGTGTACGCTAGCATGCTAGGGATTCGTGGTTCATGGTTCGAATCTCAGTTGTAGAAAGCAGTTTTATTAAACAATAAGAAATTGAAGAAATGTGGGTTGCATACCACAAAAATATAGATTCAAATGTTAGAAATAAGTTGAAGAGTAGAGAACGGAGCAACAATAGGAATAAGTAGAAGAAGATGGTGGAAGAGCAAGTAGAGAGAGCAGCAGAAGAGAATAGGAGAAGTAAGAAGAGAAGAGAGAAGAGTACAGGAAGAAAAGAGAGAGAATAGGGGTGATAGAATTTTTAAATTTTTTGGCACGTGTCGTTATAAGACAGTCTACGGTCGATCTCCCAGAGCGCCTCCGGCGCTCTGGTCGATCGCCCACTGCTTCAGTCCGTCCATTGCTCCCGGCCCATCCTACAGCTACGATGTCTCTGCGCTTCATCCCCGAAATTATCAGGCATATCAACAATTTTTATGGTGGGGGATCACCCCCAGAGAGAGGGAACTCCTTATAAGGACATCCTTTTAAGGACTTGTAAAAATATTTCTAAGTTTTAAGTCGCCTCAAGAGAGGTGACACTTAAAAATTTTCTTACAAGTTCTGACCTGTAGCTGAAATGAAAGAAGGAGTACACAAATCATACAGGTTGCCTTAACAATTTTTATAGAGGGGATCATCCCCTGAGAGAGGGAACTCTCTTAGAGACCTGCTCCTGAAATGATAGAAGGCGAACACACAAATCAAAGAAGTCAATATATCTTACTATTTCTTTATTAACAATAGAATACAAGTTTAGCCTTTGCAAGTCAACAGAATACATGTCGCCATATTGAAACAGGACTTACGACCTGCTAAGCCGCGCACATATAAGCAAGTAGCACTTCGTACAGTTCTACCGGAATAATGAAATTAGCAAATAGTTCATTTTCTATGTTATTGACAATGAAAA